TTGTCTCTTTGTTTTAGATTTTGAATTGTGACTTGATTTCTATAAAACTTAGTATCTATATGAGTATCAAAACTAGTACCGGGTTATAAAGATGCACCATCTTGTCAGCACAAATATTTAATGCCCTATCCCTCTCACACCTCTTCTTTTGCTTACGTAAACATTTATTCTAGTTCTAATGTGAGAAATAAAAACTAGAAGAACTATTTAATTTAAACATGACATAGGACTTTGGGATAAAGGATAAAAAGATAAATGTTTTGTTTGAGCATAACTAAGTTTTAGGGTTGCCATGTATTTTCAATTTGCCATCAAAAACAAACAGTAGAACTTCCTTCCCAGGGGAACCCCTTTAGTTCTTACGAGACCGACACCTATGTTTAAGGGTATAAAAAACAAGATTACTGTAGAATAACCTTAATTTGGGTTATTCTTTTCATGTCGTTTTTTTAAATAAACTTTAAACTGTATATGTGTTACTCTCAAATATTATTTATTAGACTCAAAAGTATTATATAAGTTCACTATATCTTAAAATAATTAAACTAGATAATTAAATAGACTGATTAACAAGTTGTGTTTTACACAAAACTTTATTTGCTACAAATATTTAAAATATTTCAAATCCATTTTTTTACATATTAATTATTTACCTAAGATATGTTTTTAATTTGCTTTTTAAACGAGAACATCAAAAGATTTTTTAATACAACAAACTAATTTAGAAAGTAAAATAAGGATATTAATTTAATTTAAAGGGTTGTTCATTGAGTGTAAAGGTAGGGTGAGGCTTCCAACTGGATAACTGTCAAGGTAAATGAGAGATTTGCCAGCAATTACCTTTAGAAGTAATCAGAGGGTGAAGAAATGAAGAAATTGGTGAAGAATTTAGTTCGGGCCAATCACAACGCCGGACGCGGTCACTGTGACGATCGAGTAGAAGTGAAATTAACTTACATTAGGTTTTAGTGTGAGTTGATTTCATATACACGCTTTCGACGGCGACCGCTTTCGGTGTTGCCGGTAACCGCCGAGTGGTTAGCTGAACTCTTCACCAATCGTTGTCAAGAGCGAGTTGATGTGAAATAAACTCACAATATTAGTTAAATGTTAACGCTTATTGGACAGGGGGTCCAATAAGCGTTAACATTTAACCGATTTAAAAAAGGAAGAGGTTTCGAAATTTGACTTTACATTTATATTCTTCATTTGTTAACCGATTGTGATATTTTTTCTACGGCTCTCTCCGACAAATATGCCCCGACTATGCGGCGGAGGTAGAGAGGCACTTCGTGATACACGAGCGCCTCCCTGATGCAGCTCCAGGGCATAGTGTTGAACGCGTTGGCGATGTCCAAGGACACGGCCAACACCACTTGAATTTTATTAGTTTAAAACAAGGTCGGATTGGAGAAAATGTTTCATCTCAAATATTAAAAATAATTATGGAAAACAAAGCTTATTACAATTATTAATATTGGAATACAGCTTATTATGATATACACGCATATAAAATTCATTTGTCTGTTTCAAAAATTTCTTTTTATTATAATTTATGTATTTTCTTTATTTAAAAAAGGTTAAAATTCATTTTTGTGACTGTCTCATAAATATTCCTCTCAAGGTCGTAATCCAGTAGGCTGCCTGATAACCGCATGAAACCACATTTATTTTTTGTAAATATATTTATATGGACAAAAAGTACACAGGTACAAACATACATACATGCAATTATATTACTCTTATGTAATGTACAATATACCTGTTTGATTATTCTATCTTATTTATTATTCAACAGTAACAATTCCGTTTGTTTGGCAAGCGAATTTTTAAGTATCTAATAACTTTTAGGTTTTGTAAAATCCAACTATATTTTTAATACAATCCAAGATAAATAGAATACATATCCATTAACCTATATATTAATACGTAAACAAAAATTCTTTGTACCATATTTAAAAAAAAATCGCACAGAAGCATATCATTTTTTTTTTAATAATAACCTCACTCACTCCGTCTGGTGCCAAACTAGGCAGCAGAGCCTGTGCCATGGTAACCATACTGCTGATAAACATACTTATATATTTTTAAATACATACATATAATAGATACATTACACCCAGACACAGAACAAATCATTCACAGTCACACAAATATTTGTCCTGGATGAGAACCCACCACCTCTAGCTTACATGGCTAGACCAACAGGCCCGTCCAACTTATGTTAATATGTAGAAGAAGTGCACAAAGCTAAAAAATTTAAACAATATGTGCTATTATGAGCCCCGGATCTAGGCTTCAGAAACTTAATAGTAGCGCCCTCTCTCCAGCGTTTGAGGTATATTAATAAAATAACTTAAAAAATTTTTTTTATAATTTTTTGCATTTTTTATGATTGTAACAATATATTGTTTTTATTTTATTTTAATTTTTTGATATTTGCGCCCCCTGATACTGCCGTCCGTGGCGGGCGCAACTTTATCCGGGGCTGGCTCATACAATGACGATAAGTTATACTCCCATTCGTAACACATACATACATACATTATGTTTACAGTAGCACTACATCAATACTGGATCCATGTGTTAGACAAGCCTTGTATTTGGGAACCAGACAGACATGCTTAAAATACGAAAATAAAAATTAATGTATTATTTTTAAAGACAACTCTTGAATCAGAAATATATCCTGTGTCACGGGGGGCTTTACACACCTACATGAAACGACACAAAGACCACCCAGACTCAGAACATCAATTTGTGGATCACACAAAGTGTTGTCGCTTGTGGGGATCGAACCTCAGAGCACGAAGCCGCGAAGTGGCCGCTTAAAGCTCTACGCCATCCATGCAGTCAATCATACAAAGAACAATGGCAGAAACATATTTACCTAAAACTTAAGCGTTTAAAAAATCGAGTCACAGTAAACTTAATCAAATTTTTTTCTATGATTTATCATTACACCACCATGTGTTGTATAAGTCTTAGAAGACATAAGATATTTTTGAAGATTTTATTTGACCTAAGTACGTAATGTCAGATTCGCCATCACGTATAACTGACTAGGGATGCGTGGTGGCAATATTATATTATGGAACAATATTTTCCACTACACAGTGTGATGAGAAAAATACATTGTCATTGATAACGGCACATAAATAGACATACATTGATATTTTCAAAATGTCGATACGTCGTCGTTTAGTACATATCTCTTAATCTGTGGTTTAGATCCTGTCAAGTTCCGGACTCACCACGTTTGTTATTTTATTTTTGTTTAATTTAGTGTTAAACTCGAATAGATGTTATGCTTTTATTTTTTTTATTTCATATACTGTAATAATAATGAAAATAATATTTTCGGCTATCTGACACACAACGCCATCTAGTTTCAAACAAAACATTAACAATATGTTAGTACTTAACCTCGAAACATTCAAAATCCAATATCTTTTTTCCTAGACTTCTTTCGCAAGTAATTTTGGTATGAGAATGGTCAAGAATAAATTCTCAAGTGTTAAGGATTTTTTGATATTTAAACGCTAACATTTCAGTTCAAATAAAATTATGTATGGGGACCTGCCATTGTCCTTTATAAAAAAAAACTCGTTTTCTTTCTTTCTCTACCAATCAATAAAGGGCTTTTGTAGGTTCCGTATATGATCTGGTACTACCGGAATTCACACTTAATATTGTATCTAATTAATATGTAAATTGCTAAAATTCAAGGTAAGAATATTGAATAACCTCGAAAATTTCAGTATACTGAATCAGATTGCGCCACTTGCACACATTATTGCGCAATAGTGGTTCAGTATATATATATTTTGAATATATAATGAAAATGTCTCCGTCTCTGCTATTTACTCATAGGTGCCTGGCTTGCAGTAACAGTAAGTCGATTTTCTTTTTTTAAATCTAAGTTTTATTCTTAGTTTAATTGAAACTATTTCAATCACTTTATGTAAAATATTGCTTTATTACTACTATTTGGATAATTTTGATAGGCACTGTTAGGAGTATTAACAATAATTTTCATCTGAATACACTTTGTCAAAAGATCCTCAATTCAAATAAAAAAAAGATAATATGTTCATTTCACAATAATGCTCTATTTAATGTTGAAATAATTGGAAACACTTAATTTTTAAAATAATTAAATTAATCTTTAAAATAAATTAAATTTTATAAATAGTGCGTGTGTCTGTGTGAATAAATGACGTATAGGTATTTAATCAAATTTAATTATTATGTTTGACATGTAGGGTAGTTTATAAACTAATTTGTTTACTTTAAAAAAAAATTAAAGTAATGACAATATTCTAGCGGAATACTATTAATTACAACACTAAGGGCAACCACTGTTCAATATACATGAAAAAATACGCTCTAATTAAAAAATCTATTGTCGGGGTGTTGTAGCAGTATTATGTTATTTGTATTCTAGTTATCTATGCTTATATTAAAATTCGAAAGTAACTATGACGTTTTGCAGCCTAAACCTCTGAACTAACATTGGTGAATTTTGTCACAGAGATAGAAGAGACCTCAGAGAATAAAATGGGTTACTTTTTGTGGTTAAATAGAAAGTTCCCACCGGGCTAATAATACTATAAATGCTATCACGTAATAGGTTTTACATACCTTTGAATTGGCATATTACACACAACAGGGTTTCAAATAAATTATTTTGCCTGTATCACTAAATGTAATATCTTAAATTATAGCCTGAATTGTCCTCCATTATGTCTTCATTCAACTTTGCAAAGTAAATTTAACACAAAAAAAAACAGATAATATTGCCTGCCTGTGTTAATCAACTGGTTGAGGTTTTCAAATAAACATCGAGCATATTAACTCTAAATGTTAGATTTCTTAGCTACCATTTTAATTATACGAGAATGTACTTTTGATTACACGCTACAACACCCCAACTATTACTGCATGGTAAAGCTAATAATAACTCAACAACATCAACTTCAACAAAAAAAAAAGAAATTTTATCTACACAAGGTCGCGTCGATCTGTTGCAGGGATGGGAGAATCAGCTTGAGTTTTCTCCTGTAGGCTGGATCAGAAGCTATAGGGTTCCTCTCCAAATATATTGTGGCTATCTTCTTGTTACCTTGGAGGTATTCTACAGATGACCAGTCAGTTATCTGGTTATCGTTTAGCTGAAAAGTATGAGATATGTACTTTATCTGGTATAGGATAGGTACTTTTTCTGAAATATTTTAATGAAATATTAAAATATTTCAGAAAAAGGTAATGGACAGTTGACTGTTACATGAATTGGCTTTAATGTGATTTATGAATGAATGTGATTTAAAAAAGCCCATTTTAATCGTTGAAAATGTAGCTTGATATTGGTGAAATTATTTTTAAAATCGGTTTAGTTGTTTAGGCGTGTGATTTATTCATTTTTCATTCGATTTTTGCGATTAGAAATACATCATTTGTGCAAATTTCAACTGTCTAACTATAATGGTTTATGAGATACAACCTGTTGACAGACGGACAGACAGACTGACAGACAGACGGACGGACAGCGGATTCTTAGTAATAAGGTCCCGTTTTAACCTTTGGGTACGGAACCCTAAAAAGCTATCAAGCCTTATGCCAATATTTTTAAAATCATAACACTTGATTTTTAATTTTATTATAAACTTCTTTCAGCAGGTGAAGATATGTTGAATAAAAAGAAGACTTACCCACAGCTCCTCTAAGGCGGTCATATGCCTAACATTCTCAATGGTGGTAATTCTGTTCATTGCAAGATCCAATGTTTGCAGGTTGACCTGATTGTCCAAGTTTTCTATTGCCGTAAGGCCATTCTCTGATATGTAAAGCTGTTCCAATTTCGTTAAGTCTTCCAGATTTTCTATTTTGGTGATCCGGTTACTCTGTAGCACTAGTATTTCGAGATTCGTCAAACCTTCGAGATTTTGTATTTTGGAAATTTTATTTTTACCTAGATACAGTTGGGTGAGAGTTTTCAAGCAATTTATGTTTTTGATTTCCTGAAAAATAAGATATTTTTTTTGTTTTTTCTGTTGCACTATATGGCTCTCCCGCATATATTTTTACAAAATCTTAACCAACAAAGTCATGGAACGCAAAACATACAAGTCTGCAAAACCTCCAAATTCAAAGTGTTAAGTAGAAGTACTGTCCGTGTGGTGACGGATTAAGAATACAGAGTGTCACCACCCCTATTCATCCCGTGGGTGTCGTAAGAGCCGACTAAGGGAGAAAACTACTAAGAACAACAGCACTGCAGAGAGAAGGATAACTTGACACAAACCCTATACCAACCTGTCTGGCCAGCGTGGCATAGTAGGCCAAAACCTCCTTTCTAAGGAGAGGCTTATGTCCAGCACTGGACTAATAAAGGCTGTTGATGATAATAGAAGTACCTTCCTGGTTTTATAGTCACAGGTTCCATTGTATGTTACAACTATCCTATATAAATGATCAGTACAGTATAGTTAATTGTACTTACTCTTATGCGATTGTCACCCAATTCGAGGAGCTCCAAGTTGGGGAAATGATTGACATTTTTGATTTCTGTTATCTTGTTAGAGCTGAGAAATAACTTTTTCAGTTTCAATAGCTTCTCGAGGCCGGCAATTTCTTTGATTCTATTGAACGATAAGTCGAGCATCCTGTAACAAAGGACAAATATAGTCATTATCACTTATTCAATTATTTTTGTTGTTCCTTATTACTGATTTGATTTTCACATTGTGTGACATAACGTGTGATTCAGGAATATATTATCTGTTTTTTTTACTAAAGAGCATTTAAGAATATAACCATGAGTGTAGTTGGTGAGATAGAGTTATATCATGTCCTTGCTGTGCTTGTATAACGGCTTGCGCTGATGGTTTGCAGAATTAATCTTAACATTTGGTTATAAAATGCTATTTTAAACATTGCATTATCACAGAGCTTTTGCAATAACGGCAGTTAGCATTTTATTATTGTGGCTATTTTTCGTCATGTTTACAAGAATACAATTTTTATTTGGGGACACTATCGGATTCGACATCTGTCTATCTTTGGCGTCAATAAGACTTTCAATTCACTCCATATCAGAGTTAGTAAAGTAAATAGCAATGCATCTGTCACAAATAATACTTACTCTAAATTTACAAGACTATCCAAGTTCTCCATCACTACAATCTGATTATCATATAGCTCCAATTCTACCAAGGTACTTAAGGTAGATAGACCTTCAATTTTCTTAATCAGGTTCCATCTTAGATATAATCTAAAAAAAACAAAAATATAGTTTTTTTTTAATCATGTATTTTTTTTATCATTGCTAAAGACATAATGCGATGTGACCACTGTAAACGACCCGAGACAGATGACACTCCGGTGCGGCAGGGGGCTGTCGTCTAAGGCGGGACGCTGTTGCGCCTTTTTACTCGGTAGAGCAGTGATAGGCGCGGAAACGTCCTGCCTCAGGATGACTACGGTCACTCCGGGATGTGCCCCAGACATGGGGAACGGCAGGGAGGACTCCAGAAGTCGCCGATGCGTTCCTGGAGTTTTTTGCGACTGCCGAGGTAGGCCGCCGCGAGGTTTAGTGGGTAAACCGGTTCTCCGGCGGTCCCACACACGCCCTGCGTTTCCCCAACGGAGGGTATGGTGCGAAAAGCATTCTCCGCGTGAAAAAAAAAGGACTTCAAAGGTCACTTCATATCAACGGGTGATTACTTATTCCGTCTTCAGTCTAATTGTGTAATTACGCAGTGGAAATTACAAGTATGTTTTATAATAATAATGTACACAGTTGTTCATACACATTTCTATGGGACTGTTGTGTTTAGTCTCCTGACTACTAGTCGAGATTATTAACCAATACCCACCCAGGAGGATGAGCATGATCATTTGTTCTGTGTATAGGTGTAATTTATCTATAATATGTGTATTTAAAAAGAAAAATATGTTTATCAGTAGTCTAGTTACCATACACACAGGCTCTGCCTGGTTTCAGATCAGATGGTAGTGTGTGTGATGTGCAAGGTTTAAAGATTATTAGTATTTCTTTACAGTCCGATGCAAACTTAACGGCGTATCGGAACATCGTGCGTTTTGATGCACAGAACAGAATATTAGGCAGCAGCGGGACGTAAAGGAGCGCAGGGCAACAAACGACACGCATGCCTTTTAGTGTGAGTTAGATCCGTACACTGCACTGCACATATTCCTGTCTAAGTACAGTCGAGTGGTCTTAACTGTAGGTACGTGCGCACACTTATGCTAACTTCAGCGCCATTAAGTTTGCATCGGACTATACTAGGTTCTGCTGCTTCATATTATATAATTATATATGTATACAAAATATATATGTTTAATTATATTGACGTGTGGTGACGGATTAAGAATACAGAGTGTCACCACCCCTATTCATTCCGTGGGTGTCGTAAGAGACGACTAAGGAAGCAAACTACGCAGGACTACAGCACTGCAGAGAGAAGGAACACTTGAAACAAACCCTATACCAACCCGTCTGGCCTATGTTCAGCAGTGGACTAGTAAAGGCTGTTGATGATGAATTATATTGATGTAGATTTTTGCAAATATGTCAGATATCCCTGCGGGAAATCCTATGTTCTTTGAGGACAATATGTGTGCAAAAATAATGACAGTTGGTTGATTATGTGGAAAAGAATAACAGACTAACTCAATTTTAAAGTATTTTTTTTACTTGTAACAAAACACTAAAAATGTTAGTCGTTATCTTTCCCCATCTCTACAGACATCTTGAATCACCCCACTCATACACATTAAGATATTTGTACGATCAAAGTCTTTCTTAAAGATTTTGTCTTTGTTTTATATTTTAAGTTATGTAATATATACTTTCTACGAGAACTCATTAATACGTTATCAGTATAAATTTAATTTATATATATGCATAAAGGGCAGTCATAACACGAATGGCTAATAATGTTCCATTTTTAACATTAAAATTTATTTGTTTTTATTTATTTTAAAATTAATAAAAATAAATAAACAAACCAGTAAAATTTTGTAAGGAATAAGGGACAATCGAGCAGACGCGTTACCTGATGGTAAGTTATTACCGCCGCCTCTAGAAACCAGCAACTCAACAGTCACAAGTGGGTTACCAGTAAGTTGAGCTCTGGTAACCTCACTTACTAACTCAACTAAATTGTGAAAGTAACGAAAGAAATGCTTGACCATGTACTGTGAGGCTGTGGTATTACTCATTCGAAACCGACCCATATGTGCCGAAGCATGACTCTCTCACGGTAATTGTTTCTAATAATAATAATTATCTGTGTGGTGATGGATTAAAAATACGGAGTGTCACCACCCCTGTTCATCCCGTGGGTGTCGTAAGAGCCGACTAAGGGAGCAAACTACTTAGGACAACACCACTGCAAAAAGAAGGCAAACTTGACACAACCCCTATGCCAGTAGAGCATGGTATAGTAGGCCAAAACCTCTTTTCCAAGCAGAGGCCTATGTAAAGCAGTGGACTATTAAAGGCTGTTGTGATGTGATGAATAATAATAAAGCCTTTATTTCTCGAAATATTTACATATTAGGTGCATATTGTATTTTTGTATAGTTTTTAGAAAAACTATATTAAAAAGAGTTAAAAGAGAAGTTAAAACATTTTATAAACTAAGATTACACTTAAATTGCATAATATCTCTTAATTCGGATTGCCTCCAACTCTTTTCACTGTTTTTTGTCTGCTGCTACTCTCATCCAAACTGGTTTTAATTTGTAAATAATTGTTTATAGTTCGCTGTAAATTATACACTCATCCTATTGAGCTGATGAAACATTTACAAAATTCTATACACTTTAAATGTGTATATTTGTGAATGTGTGCTGTATATGTTTGCCATTAATGAAATGGCCTTCAACATCCCACTTAACAATGGTCCAATTGATAATAAAAAATGATTAAATAAGCTTGAGCAAAGATGACGTTATTCATTTTTTATCTCTGCAACAATTGATGATTGTCGGATGAGATACTGATATCATCTCTCTCTATCTGAGACTCCGCACTCCCCAGGGCAGTGGCAAGCGATTCAAACCGCTGCCAAAGAAAGGCTCCACGAGTTACTCCGACGCACTAAAGGCGAATGACCTTTGCGTCGCGGTCATGCTGGAGCCTTACCACGACCTCACCAAGGCACAGGCAGAGGACATCGAGGGCCAGCTGCAGGGCGTGCTAGATGAGGAGATCTTCTCGCCCGGCACGTCAAGCGCACCCGTCGCTGCGCCACAGTTTAGGGGCAAGGCCTTCTACAGTGAGGGCGCCCTTAAGATGTGGTGCAATGACGAATATGCCCTACAGTGGCTTCGCCGATCCCTGGTAAGGATCCCATCACCACGTGAAGGCACCAAACTGGTCGTCAGGAGGCAGTCTGAGATCCCGAGAAGGATCAAGGCTGGACTCCTGGTACCACAAATCGGACCAGATGATACACTGGTCCGTATACAAACGAGGCTAAGGTATCAGAATAGCCAGTACAATGTGGCCAACTGGGCCCTCTACCATGCCGAGGCGCAGGAGGAAAAGAAATGTCTCTTCCTAGTGCTCGGCATCCCAGAAGAGGACGTCGTGAAGCTCAAGGCTAGCGAGCGTAGAGTATACTACAAACTGGGTAACCTCTACGTTCGCTTCCTCGATGAACGTCCCGCCCCACCAACTAACCCAGACGAGGAGCCAGAATCGGCCCCACAACACCGTAAGGACGGCAATGGAGGGGATCCTCTGATGCCCGTTGAGGAGACAGCCTGCCGGGGTCCACCTCCTGAGGAGTTGAAGGACCTACCGGTGGGCGAGAGTGACCTCGACGACATAGAGGACATGCTGAACAGCGATGATGGCGCTGTCTGCACCCCCCCATAACACCCTTATAGCCATCCAAACCAACCTCCAGCACAGCCATACAGCAACGGCTAACCTACGCAGAGAGCTGGAGGTAAAAACCAACACCGTAGCCCTAATCCAGGAGCCGTGGATTAGGAAGGGCAGGATCTGCGGTCTAAACAATATTGGAGGTAAGATACTTCTCAACACTACCATTGATAACCCGCGCACTTGTATTTATACACCAAAACATGCGTGTACTACCTTAATGACCGAGTTCTGTTCCAGAGACCTTACCTCTATTAGGTTAAAGGAACCCTCATCAAACCTTCCTGACGTGGTGATAGCATCAGCCTACTTGCCGGGCGATGCTGACATCCCCACTCCGGAGCTGGCTGCGCTGGCACACCACTGCGAGCGTGAGGGTCTGGAGCTGATCATCTCTGCCGACACCAACGCGCACCATGCGCTGTGGGGCAGCAGGAGCAACAACCGGAGAGGTGAGGAATTTGTATCGTTCCTATTATCAACTAACCTTAACATTATCAACGTGGGCTCGGAGCCGACATTTGTCACATCCAGGGCCCAAACTATAATTGATCTTACTTTAGCAAGTGAGCACGCATCGCAACACATATCGAACTGGCATGTTTCGAACGAAGCATCGTGCTCAGACCATCGCTGGATCAAATTTAACTTTGAAATGAAACTTAAACTACCCGATCCCCGACGGAATCCCCGCACGATGGACCGGAAACGGTATGAACATCTTACTGCGGAGAATCTGCGAAGCATCAACCCAACATATGCTACGGGGACTGTTAAGGACATTGACAGTCATGTTGTCAACCTTACACAGACACTGATCGATAGCTTTGAACAAACATGCCCACTTTCCACACCCAGAACTGGACCACAGAACAAACACCAATGGTGGGGTCCGGAACTGGAAAGACTACGTCGTAAAGTGAGAAAGTTGTTCAATAAAGCAAAAAACTCGCGATTAGACCAACATTGGGATGCCTACACGCAGGCCCGACAACAATATAAGAAGAGAATCAGAACCAGGAAAACTGAGTGCTGGAGAAACTTCTGTACTAACATAGAAAACAACAACCAGGCTAATAGAGTCAAAAGCATACTGTGTAGTAGAGGCGATCACAATCTTGGCTCACTGAAGAAGCCTGATGGTGAGTATACCAAAACAGACTCGGAAGCCTCAGAGCTGTTATTAAAAACACACTTCCCTGGATGTCGCATTTCAGATGTGATGGAAAAATGGGAAGACAGATGGGAAAAACCACCAGATGATACAGACTGGGATACGGCCCGCAAAGTTGTCAATCATGACAAACTAAGATGGGCAATTAACAGCTTCCTACCATTCAAGGCGCCAGGACTAGATGGTGTCTTCCCAGGCCTACTGAGATGGTGTGATATGACACTACTGGACCATCTTGTAAAAATTTATAGGGGCTGCCTGGCGCATCAGTACATCCCCTTGAAATGGAGAGAAGTCAAAGTAGTCTTCATCCCCAAACCTGGTAAAGGTGACTACACACAACCCAAATCACACCGACCTATTAGTCTCACATCTTTTCTACTAAAGGTTCTCGAGAGGCTAATAGATAGGGAAATCAGGGAAACTGCGTTAGTCAGTCACCCTCTACACCTCAATCAACACGCATACTCGATGGGTAAATCAACAGAATCTGCCCTACATCGAGTTGTTTCATATATAGAAGACAATCTAAATCACAAAAGGTCAACACTGGCTACCTTTATCGATATCGAGGGAGCCTTTGACAAGACCAACTTCACCAGCATTAGCCAAGCTCTATCTAGGCATGGTGTTGATTCCACAATCTCAGGGTGGATCGATAGCATGCTAAGATATAGAGCTATTCAATTCACTGTGAGCGAAGTGACTAGAGGAGTGGTGGCTAGAGGTTGCCCCCAGGGCGGTGTACTCTCCCCTCTTCTATGGAACATTGTTGTGGATGAGCTCATCGCACAACTTAATGACCAAAGATTCCTCACAATAGGCTATGCAGACGATCTTACTATTCTTATCAGCGGTCCTTTTGAGAGCATTACATGCGATCAAATGAGACTTGCACTGAAGATCGTGGAACAATGGTGCGTAGCACACAACCTGACAGTGAACCCATCCAAAACAGAGATGATCATGTTCACAAACAAACGCAGCCTAGGAAATCTCAGACTTCCTAAGCTATTTGGAACACAACTTACTCTTACCAAAGAGGTCAAATACCTAGGAGTAATACTGGACAGTAAACTCCTGTGGAATATGCACCTCGATGAAAAACTGAATAAAGCCTGCATTATTTTTCTGCCAATGCAAGCGGCTACTCGGCAAAAGCTGGGGACTATCACCCAAATCACTTTATGGCTATACAGGACAGTCATAAGACCAATAATCACTTACGGTGCTGTTGTCTGGTGGCAGAGAACAGAGCTTAGCACCGTCATAAACAAACTGCAGCAATTCCAGCGACTTCCATGTTCCGCGGTCACTGGCTGTATGCGCACAACGCCTACTGCCGCACTGGAGGTGGCTCTTGGTCTGCCACCCCTGGATCTATTCATACAGCAGGAGGCCGCCATGGCGATCATTAGACTCAAACACCTGGGTCTATGGCACAAAAGTGAGGGATCGCACTCCAAATTATGGGATCAATTAGTGGAATACGAACCACTGATAGCAGCTCCATGCGATAGAATCCCAAAACACCATATCTTCACAAGAAGATACTACATCCAGATACATGGAAATGACCGAGATCAATCCGGCATTAACGAAGTCCGTATTTACACGGACGGTTCCAAGACTAGGTCAGGAACTGGAGCCGGAGTTTTCTCGCAAGACCTAAATATAAACAAATCACTAGCGTTAGGCCAACACAGTTCCATATTTCAATGTGAATGTGTGGCAATAACTTACGCTGCCACAACGGCCATGTCAAGGGGTATCAAGGACTACAACATCCGAATAATATCCGACAGCATGGCCGTCTTAAAGGCACTGGAGGGCAACACAATAACCTCTGGTATTGTCTTCGAATGCCACCAAGCACTGGAACAGCTCGCTATATTCAATGGGGTACTCCTCCAATGGATTAAAGGGCACAGTAACTCACACGGGAACGATGCCGCAGATGAGTTGGCAAGGAGGGGCTCGGCAACCCCAACCTCTGGCCCAACGCCACTCCTGCCCATATCGTTTAACCAAATACGATGCTGGGTCAGGCAACGGACCTGTGAAGCACACAACCGGAGGTGGAAAAACTCACCCGGCTGCAGACAGTCCAAACTGGTGCTGAATCAAGTCACACCACGACTCACCTGCAGATTGATCAGTCTTAGCAGACCGGAACTCAGAATGGTTGTCGGAACTATTACAGGACATCTAGCCCTGAACCGACAACTATTCATAATCAATGCGACGGACAGTCCCCTGTGCAGGGGATGTCTGGAAGCTGAAGAAACGGCCGCCCACGTAGTCCTGGAATGCGAGGGAGTGGCCACACAACGGGCAAGTATCATTCCTGATATAAAGTCGCTCCTAGAAGCCTGTGAACGCCCCAGGAGGCTTCTGCGCTTCTGGAAGGAGCTTGGTTGGCTCACCTAGTCAACCAATCCTCGACGCATAAAGGACCACTCTGAGTCTAAATGCGGAAACCGAAGCCCACAACCAATACCAATACCAATACCAATCTCTATCTGAGATCACTAATATTATAAAGCTAATGAATTTGTTTGTTTTTTTTTTATGTTAGAGGGGGCTGATGAGCTTATGGGTCACATGGTGGAAAGTGACTATTGCTGATCATGAACGTTTGCAATTTTGTTGTCGAAAAATTCTTTTAGCCTATTTATTGAGGAATACTTTCAGCTACAAAACATCAATAGGTGCCGAGTATCAATGAAATTTGCAAAAGTAGGTCTTAAAACTATTATACCCTGAAGATATACAAAAATAATTGTAGAAGTATTCTGAGTAAAAGCACACATCCTACATTTCTAAAATATTGCTGGATAATTTGGTTTAATTATAGTCAGGACTTCCTAACCAGCAGATCCTCATCACCTTTTATGAACGATTTTCAACATCTGTTGCAATACCCAAACTAAGTAAATACACGACACAAACTAACTTTTACTTATATTATAAGGAGTTCTGTTGTATTTTTAAGCATTAGTATTGTAACTTAAAGAGTAGCTTTTCTGTTATTCTGTATTATTACCCATTTTCATAATAAGATCCTTTTTTCTAATAACTATTTTACTAAATCTAAGTAAATAACTTCTCAGGCAAATATCAAAATAATCCAACAGTCTTTATTCTTATAAACTTCCATAAAAATATCTCTAAGTGAATAACAAGAGAAATAAGAGTACCATTAATTTACTAGTATTACTAAATTTTGAACATTAAATAATAAATTATGATCATAGATCATATATTTGGTAATATACAACCCACCAGTGACTAACATGTATGTACATGGCAAATTAATATCAGCAAAATACCATGACCGTTATTGAAATTGACTGGCTGTATCAATGACTCACCTCTCTAGACGCTTTAAGGGTTCAAGTTTTTCAATTTTCCCGATTCTACCATGGTTCAGGTCGAGTTCTACGGTATCCTCATTGACTATTATCATTTCATTCGCCTCTTCATCCTCAGTTGGCGGTGGTGATTGTGAATGCGGCGATCCAGGAGCATCGAGATCTACAGCGTTTACTTCGATACTAGACTCGTTTGCCTCATTAGGAGATGCAACATTAACTTTTCTAGGTTCTATTGGGCCTTCATTATGAGATACAGGTGCATCTTGATTTTCTATACAATAAAAATACATAAATATCACACAAACTCAGTAAACAAATTCATTAGTGCTTCACATACCTGCCATATTTATTATAAGCGTTACACTACACTAGACTCGTCTAGTGTATAATCAAATGCAAATTATTTATGTAAATAAAATACAACTTTTCCTTGTTTGTTTAATTTAAAATCCGATGTAGTTGAAGAGGAATTCTCGAAAAATTCAAGACAAGAAATCAAAATTGTCAAAACGTACAGATAAAAATACAAAACTATAACTCTCACAGATTATATAGTAACCTTTACCGTTGGACTCAATTTCGCAGAGTATAAATATGTTACAAGAGTGAATGTTAGGTACTCTAATTAACTTATGATCCTTATTAAAATGCATACTGTTTTAGGCATAAAGTGGGATAATGTTACAAATTAATATTTCCATGACAAAGTTTTTAATGGTGACAAGCGTCGAGCGACGGGTTGGAGATTATTTTTCAAAGTTATAGCTATCCACAATAGTAAAAGTAATAGGCATCTAACTTGTAAAGTTATAGTCATTTAAAAATATCGTCCAAAATACAAAATCCTTGGAGGAAAACGAGTGAGCTTCACAGTGCAAGCATATTTGTCATAAATCTCACATTTCACCTCTGTAACATAATTGTACGCTACAATAACATTATGTCCTGAAAGTAGTGATTGAGGTATTAAAAGAATAAAAGAATCGTTGACTTAAATAATTGTAATAAAAATATCCAACACCGCCATTGAACAATTCACGTGAATATTTTTATCTCTGTTTGTAAAATCTCTTAGTAGTCTGTGGTCTTACCACAGACTAATAATAGGAGATCACAGCTGACTGATCAACAACATAAAGACAGTTTCGCGCCAAATGTGTTACATTTTTATGGTTGTATTGTATTTGTATTAAGATTGTGACAAAGTGTTGTTAAATTGTAACAATGGATGAAAATGATGAACTAGCTCAGTTGGAAGAATTATTGTGTGCTGATTTAGATGATATCCCAGCTTCAAACACTGTTAAAACGCCACTTCTTACTGGAGAAGTGGATATCTTTAAAACAAGTAGCACTGACGTTGAAGATGAAGAAAAACGTGTTCAGGATCTGCCAGGCGACATCTCTGCGATTCATAATGGGGATACAGACTCATCAGATGACGAAGAAAAAAGGAATTACACTGAACGAAAGTATAATGACTACGGTTCTCAAGTTAAAAAGTTGCTGGATAACAAGGAACATGAGCAAAGAGATAAAAGACTTCATTTTGAAACGAGACTTCGTAAAACTAATATGGATATTAAAACTTCGCGCAACACTTTCAAAACAGTACAACCTAAAGAGCAGGTTAACAAAAACACTCTCTGTGCTCCTGAAACAAAGTCGAAACCTACTTCGGACATATATACAGATCCTATATTCGGTATAAGAATAACCAAACCTTTAATATCAAGTGTGGCGTTGTTAGATCGGATGCAAGGTAGAGAGGCTATTAACATGCTCAGGGTAAAACGTCATGTAGAAAATGAAGACCTATCAAAAGACTGGGTGATTGCTGGTGTTATTGTTAGAAAAAGTGCTGCTAAAAAGTCACAAAAAGGCAACCAGTTTTTGATTTGGACACTTAGTGATCTTAAAGATGACATGAAAACTATTTCCATGTTTTTATTTAGGAAAGCATATAATGACTTGTGGAAGACACCCCAGGGGACAGTCGTAGCGGTGTTGAATCCCAATGTTTTAGACAGATCACAGAATAGTGCTGACCAAGCATGTCTCAGTGTTGAAAACCCTGATAGAGTAATGATATTAGGGCAGTCTAAAGATCTTGGTGTTTGCAAGAGTAAGAAAAAGAATGGAGAACCTTGTACTGCTTTTGTCAACTTGACTCAATGTGAACACTGCATCTATCATGTCAAGCAAGAATACCAGAAATATTCCCGAAGACAAGAATTGCAGTCCTCAACTATGGGCAAAGGGCTTGTTAATTTACAGAATAAAGTATTAGGCAAAAACACTGTTATTTATGGTGGTAAAGCATATTCTGCTTTGCCATCAGGCAATACTACTAAAATTAAAGAGAGGGACAACAATAGATTAATGTCATTGAGTGATTATTATAAATCTGAAGGTGATAAGTTCATGATGAATAAAGTACCTTATGGAGCACATTCTATGAAAATTAATTCAGCTTTACACAGCCCTGCAACACAAAGACCTAGTGATGCGGAAAGGTTGAACAAACTTACTAATGGAAGTCCACAAAGTGTTTCAAACTCACAAAATTTAAGTTTAGCAGATAAAGTAAACAGTTCTCCCAAATTGGGTAAATTTGGCTTAAAGGGTAGTGGTCCAATTGATCTAAACATATCATATGGTCAGAAAGCAGCTGAAAGAGCTAAAGCAAATGCAATTAAGCTTATTAATCAAAGTGGTGGATTGACAAAATGTGACCCTAACAACATCAAAGGAACTAATGCAGGCAAGAAAAGACTAATGGAAAAACTGAACTCTTCCAGTAGTGATGAGAATGATTGTAAAAAAACAAAGCCTAATGAAGAATCTACATCACAGCAGATAAAACTTTTCGGTGTTAAGTCTGAAAGATTCAAGAAGATTCTTGAAGCAACCTCAGCACATCAGAACTTGATTCAACAACATGAGAATGATGAGCAAGACAAATACTTTAGTAAACTGGAACAGAAAGAAAAAATGGAAGAGAAAATGTTAAATACCTTCAAGCTGGCATGTAAAGCCGTCAGATGTGTTAAATGCAAATATACAGCTTTTTCTGCTGCACAGTTATGCAAAGATGAAAGACATCCTCTGAAAGTTCTCGATAGTTTTAAGAGATTCTTTAAATGTGCTGATTGTAATAATAGAACTGTTTCTTTAGAGATTATTCCTCTGCATTCTTGTAGTAATTGCAAGGGCTCTCGCTGGGAGAAAGCTCCAATGATGAGGGAAAAGAAAGTTACTTCTCTATCTGGGGATTTGTCTATTAGAGGTGAAGAGGAATCTTATATAGGTGGACAAGTGACTACGGGCAAAAATATCAATTTGTTGGTGCCAGAGTAATTTATTATGTTCATATAGACTGACTTTTATTATTTATATAAAATTATGATATAAGGTTATAAAAATAAAATTCAATTTGAAAATAAAGCATAATATAATTTTATTATGAAAGTTTCAGTCAATAACACTGAACCGTTCCATAAAACAATGTGTCTTGATTTAATACAAGATTCATTTATAATCATCTTGTCGCGCGGAATAATTGAGGGCTTTTTATAAATTTTTACACAGCCTTTGACATTTACACAATTTTTGACAATAAATTACTACATGTTACAAAACTGATTAGTGGAGCTAACAATAACATGTGACACAGATGTATTTACAAAAACTTCATTATATCAGGCAGTGGCGCGACTTACACAAAACGATAAATTAAAACTTGTTACAGCTAATATGCTAACAAAACAAAATCAATGTGTGATTACAACTCTAAATTCATGTAAAAGATGTTTAGGTTGCCAACAAAATATAAGAATCAAAAGAAACGATCTTACGAAGATATCGCGACGTGTGATCATAGATAACCAGATGATTTATACAAAGCAGAAGTTTCAAACTGCAAGTTTGAAATTGCACTTAAAAGTAATTCGATAACAATTGCATATATTCTGATAAAAGTTTTAGTACTGTGATATACTCTTATTATTGGTTTAAAAATTGGAAATTTTAAAAAGGAATCATTATTAACTACCCTTTTATTTCAAGGCGAATAATTTCCAATATATTAAAATAAACACAATTTTTAAATCTCACATTACAGGTGTATGCCACAGAACTAAAATCGCAAAAGTCAGTCTGTTATCACCAGTAAACACGTGACTTCGAACATATATTAGTTCGAAATTCCGCACCAACTTGCTGTCTCGAATATCTGGCCTGTGCACCAGCCTGTGTTTAGAAAACTGTCTCCGATGAGTCCTCCATCAAATAAAAATAACAATTGCAACCACTGCCATGGGGTGCGTTCGTTTAGTAAAAAAATATATAAAAGTGTGTTGCTCCTACTCCCACTCTGTAGTGGCTGGCGGTTTCGGCGTCAGGTCGTACAGCACGCGCGATATTCCCGGCACGGTCAGCAACTCCCTGCGCATCCTGTCTACAACCTAGATAAACACAATGTTTATATTAACATCGTTCGTTAACTCCAAATATTAGATGTCGATATAAAAATGTTAGATCCGTGATGCACTTATTTGAACAGTCTGAAGAAGGTTTATCAGGTTATATCAGAATGCAAATTATGGGTTAAGCTACTTCCATATAAGAAAAAGAAATATTTGCAGAGTCAGCACTTTCAGAGCTTCGATCTCTAGTTGATTTCCTTTGATATTAGTTTTCAGGAGACTCGTCGTTTTGTATGTCTGTATGTATGTATGTAAACAGGGAAAGCATCTGAACTTTCACAGTTAAAGAGTATGTTCACTATGACGTAAATCATAATGCGTTATCTTTTAATAGAATCGTCTAAAGCGAAAAAGTAAAATACAACTACTCTCGACACAAACAAAGCTGAGAGTATATTAAGTAGTGTGTAATATAAATTCGTTACCCATTTTATTAACAGACTAAAAAGATAAAGTAACTTCTTGAAATCTTGGCTTACGGATAGTATTACTTTATGAGACCACAAGTAATTTAAGATCAAGCGGATGGGTGGATGAGGAGGGTGAGAGGATGTAGACTCACGTCCATGGGCATGGCGTCGGAGCCGGGCAGCGCGGCGACGCCGGTCATGAAGTCGGACGTGAGGAAGGGGCGCAGCACGAGCGAGCGCTGGCACGAGGCCGCGCGCACGGCCGCGTCGCGCTCGAAGTGCACGGGCACCAGCACCACCGGCATCTGAGCGATGCGCCCCATGCACCCGCTCGCCACCAGCACCTGCACACGGACACATCATGCGTCTTACTACTTCACTGCCACATTCTATCTTCAAACTGAACAAGGCTATTGATGGCCGATGATATTTTTACTTTAAAACTATCTGTGTTTGGGTGTAATTAATTTATACATGATATGCATGTATTTAAAAATTGTTTATCAGCAGTCTGGTTAAAAATTTATTTTCATTTGAACGTGTGGAAAACCCCTCGGGCCCAACCCCACCGGGGTTTGCGACGGGGTAGGGAGTGTGTCGGAATCGGACCGACTAAAACCACACAGTGTGCCACTCAGCGCCTGTGATAGGAGGGATCCGGGAACTGCTGTTATGAAGACATCCGGCATACGACAGTGTCAACTTATTATTGTTATAGAATATAGTTAGAATGCGTTGGTAAATCTAAAATCACAAAAGGAAGCAGGTTTGCATCTCTACAATTAGAAATCACATTTAATATCAACGCTTAGCTTAGGTTCAGAAGCTACTTGAGAAAAATAAAAACTATATAATATAGTACCTGTGTAGCAAGGTCGTCGGCCTGGCGCAAAGTAGATACGACTTGTTGTGTGAGGAAAGTAGGTGTAATATCGGTTACTTGCTCCTTAATTAAACCTCCAAATGCATAACAAACCCTGCAATAGACAAATTTACAGAATAGTTTAACCACTTTATTTCATTGCGTAATAACTAAATACTTTAAAATGGTTACAAACAATACTAAAGAACTCTGTGCCTATTAAGGAAATATTTTAATTTTTTTACTAAAGGTATGCGTCCAGATATATAGCTTTTGCCCGTGGCTCCGCCCGCATGTATGTCAGTTATCGCGGTAAAAAAGAGCCTATGTCCTTGCTCAAGAATGAAAGTACCTCCATGCCAAATTTCATTAAAATCGGTTCAGCAGTTATCTATGAAAGTGTAACAGATAGACAGAGCTACTTTAGCATTTATAATATTAGTAGGGATGTGTACCTGTTAACATTGTGGCAGACGCGCGGTATAAGTTTGGCGAGGTAGTGCATGTCCTTCCAGTCGGGAGGGTACCGCTCCGTCGACAGCGCCACGGCGTAACTGTACGTTCGTCCATCACCTGATAACATATATTTCATTCTAATTCATATTCTATTAGCAACAAAGTTAAGTTTAAAGTTTTATAATTCTGTACTATTTTTCCTTTATATATCCTTGTCCTTTACAAAGAACGGATAGTTAAAGAAATGATGCAGGTTTACGTACATAAGGGAGTTAAGCGAAACCTGTAAATTCTGTAATATTTGATTGATACACACAAATTATCCATATATCCATAGTAGGCCAAAACCTCCTTTCTAAGGAGAGGCCTATGTCCAGCAGTGAACTATTAAAGGCTGTTGATGTGTGATGTGATGACACACAAATTATCAATGTATAAAAAATATATATTTTATTTAAAATATACATATTTCTAATTAGAATATTATGAAGAAGTCTCAAAGGAAATGCAGCAGCTATCGCGTTGGAGCCAGCGAGGTGCACCCATACTTATAGGTTAACTACTTATAGTTTTAGTGTACGAGGGGTGATCAATAAGTAATGATAATCAATATGAAACAGAACTATTAGATTAAAAAAAGTATTTTATTTTTCAACATAGTCTCCTTGCAAGTTAATACATTTAGTGTATCTTTTTTCTAAGCCCATGATTCCCTTAGAAAAAAATTCTTTGTCTTGACCCTCCCAAAATGCCTCTACTGCGGCCATCACTTCACTATTGTCCTCAAATTTGTTGCCCCGGAGGTGTTCTTTGAGCCGAGGAAAGAGGTAGAAGTCACTGGGAGCTAGATCTGGCGAATAGGGAGGGTGTTCGAGCAGTTCGAACCCCGTTTCTTCAATGGCAGCCATCGCAACTGCGGCTTTGTGAGCCGGGGCGTTGTCTTGGTGAAACAGCACTCCAGCGCGCAGTTTACCGCGTCTTTTTGACTTAATAGCTTCTCGCAATCTTCTTATTTGGCCTGCGTAGTAAGAGCCTGTTATAGTGGCCCCCTTTTCCAAATATTCCACCATTATAATTCCTTCTGCATCCCAGAAAACAGACGCCATAACCTTTCCCGCTGAACTTGACACTTTGAATTTCTTCGGCGTTGGTGAGGAAGCTCGTTTCCAAGTCATTGATTGTTGTTTGGTTTCGGGATCAAAGTGGTGGATCCAGGTCTCGTCCATGGTCACAAAACGCGACAAAAAAAATTCTTTATCGGCCTGGAACTTTTGAAGATTCACCCTCGAAATGTCGACTCGTTTCATTTTTTGCTCGTCGGTTAACATTCTCGGTACCCAACGCGCAGAGACCTTTTTCATATGCATTTTGTTGACAATGATTTTTTGAACGCTGCCATAGGAGATCCCTGTGACCTCAGCTACATGCCTTACGGTCACCCTTCGATCGGCCAACACGATATCTTCCATTTTTTTGACGTTTTCTCCAGTAAGGGACGTGGAAGGGCGTCCCTCGCGATGTTCATCTTCAGTGGAGGTTCTGCCCAGCTTAAATTCCTTTGCCCAGCGTGCGACTGTGGAATATGGAGAAGCAGACTCCCCCAATGTTTCCTCTAAGTCGCTGTGTATGTCTTTGGTAGACATTTTTTTCAGGCAGAGGTACTTGATGACAGCTCTTATTTCATTTTTCTCCATTTTGATGTTTTCTCTTCGACAGTTCGTATTCAAATGAATGTATCTCCCGGTAATGGTGTCCTATTTATACATTTTTTTGAAGCTGAAGTAGTGGATATATAAGCAAGCAGAAAAAAAATAATTTGGGTTTTTGTGCGTTCTAGAAATACTCGATTATCATTACTTATTGATCACCCCTCGTAGAGTATATCACAGTACCTTGGACCCCAACAGAGCGAATGGGCAACAAGGTGGCGGCGACGGGCGACTTGGAGGAGATGCGCTTGAGCTCGGCCTGCTCCGCGGGCGTGCTGGCGTTGGCCACTCGCCCCAGGAGCGCGTGCGACTTCATACACATCGACGCATATTCCACCATTATTTTCACTATCACCTACAACGAATCAAATATTATTATGATTATTCAGTCAACGTGACGAGATTGATATAACGCGATGGCTAACGTCATCCTCCAACCGTTGACTTCAACAATTTTCTTTTAAATTAACAAAAAAACTATACGGTTCACTACGCCAAACATCAAGCCAGTGAAAACTACTGTGATAATTAGGGATGTCGGGTTAGACCTTGATGATACTACGACAATTTTAGGTATAAAACTAGATTCCAGTCTACAGTGGGTCCCACATATTGATAAATTATCGAGTAGACTTAGCTCAGCAGTATACGAAGTTAAAAGAAATCGAGAGTTGACTGATGTTGACACAGCACGACTTGTTTATTTCAGTTATTTTTATAGCATAATGTAGTACGGTATTCTACAGTCGGAGAATGCTGCTGACATTCGAACTATTTTTGTGCTGCAAAAGAGAGCGATTCGAGCAAATTTATAATTTAGGCAATCGTTGTTCATTGAGGCAGACATTTTAAGAAATAAACATAATGACAGTGGCATGTCAATATATGTATATATGAAAATGTAATATATGTGTATAAAAGCAAAGATAGATCCGAAAAGAAGTGATGTTATTTTATTTTATATTAAAATCCCTAATAATATACAAGACCTAAGTATTAACAAATTTAAATCCGCAATAAAACGTAAATTATGTAAGAAAGCCTATTACTCAATTATGGATTACATAGAAGACAAGAATGCTTGGGATTAATTTTGGACAGGCTATTTCTTAAGTGAGAATGTGGTGTGCGCTGGTGTTTTTTATTTATTTTTCATTTTTTTTTAAGTTTTACTTTACTTTCATTTCTATTCCAACTTTTCTCTTTGTCTTGTTTTCTCTTCATTAACTTTTCAGCTTTTATTCACATCAAAACAATGTTGTGGTATATTTAATGATGCTATTGTATATACCTGTTAATTGAAAAAGATTGGCCGTGAGTTTGTTTGCACTTCCTTCTCATAAAGCTTTGGAAACGGGCGGTTGTAGATCGATACAGGCATATAATATATTTTAGATATTATATTTATTTTGCTAAATATTTGAAAAAAAACAGAGATTGTTGCTATTATGTGTTGATCTATGACTTTTAAGCCTATGAATTTTAAGCTTATGAGCCTAAATAAAAGACGATTTCAAACAATTTTATGAAAGAAAGATATTTTGAGTAGAGTTGAAATTTAATTCCTGTAACAGGAACTAAACATACTGATATTGTTGTTTGATTCGCATTTCTCTTTATATACAATGGAAGATGTTTTATAGGAGTTTTTTCTATTAATAACTCATATTAAGAAGTTGTCCTGAAACTAACAGACGTAGCCAAATTCCGAAGCAATAGTTGTGTCCTCGGAGTGCAGATAGAAAGCAGTGGCTCCTAAAGTGTTTTTAAAGAACAATTGTGTTGAGGAGCTGTTGTGTATATTCTTCTCATTTAATACTTTTAGATGCTACTATAATTTCACTAAAGCATATTTAATATTATTTTAACGGGAATTAACGCGATCTCTTATTTAGGGTATTACATACCTCTGGTTTGCCTGACGTTTCGACTTTATGCGTGGTGTGTATGTATGCATAAAGGTTCACAACATCGTCGGCACACCGAAGGATATAGTGCCACTACAAACTCCGGGTGTTTATAAAATAGACTGCAGCTGCGGAAGCTCATACATAGGCCAAACTACGTCGACTATTGCAGAAAGGGTCAAAGAGCATATCGCTGCTGTGAAGAACCGACAGACGAGCAAATCAGCGATTGCAGAACATGCACTCGATGCAGGCATCAACCACTGGATTGAATTTCACGGCACGCAAGTCCTCTCCACCGAACGTCACTTTTACTCAAGAGTTGTACGTGAAGCGATTGAGATTAAAAAGCTTAAAACTTTCAATCGGGAAGATGGTTTTAAATTATCTACAGCGTGGAATCCAGTGTTAAAAAACATACCACCTCGCTTTTCTGCGGAATCGGTTAAAGACTCGTCGTTTTGCTTACAGAATAGGGACACAGTTAGTGTTATATGTGACGGTACATGGCGACACAAAAACAACAACAATATCGAAAATTTCGACGACGAAAATTTCGAAATCGGATTCGACGACGGAGGGCGTCGGAGGGCGCCGATGAGCAAGTCAGCCTGTGACCACGGCCGGTGCAACCTGGTCGAAACGTCAGGCAAACCAGAGGTATGTAATACCCTAAATAAGAGATCGCGTTAATTCCCGTTAAAATAATATTAATTATCATGGAACGCGAAAGTTTAAAAGTTAGTAAAGCATATTTTAAATTATAATAATAAATACCTGTGTTTCAGCAAAATCCCGCTCCATATAAGGTTCTTCCTGACACAATATCCGCACGGCGAGCCCAGGACCCGGGAAAGGTTGTCGTTCCACCAGCAGTGTCGGTAGACCTAGCTCCACGCCTAGCGCACGGACCTGGAGATCAAAATACAAAGATTACAATAAAATGTGTTATTTAATTTATTAATTTAGGCTCCATCATTTTCTTTGAGTATTTAACATTCAGTTAAGATAAGATTTACAATTTGAAATTGTTAACTGTTAGCAATATTTGAATATACTCATCAGAGATTGTGTATCTCATGATGTTGGTATGATCATCAATTAAATGCCATTCATACTTATAAATGTGAAAGTGAGTTTCTATGTTTGTTACGCTTTCACGCCTAAACCACTATACCGATTTTTTTACCAATGAAAAGCTACGTTATGAGCCAGTAACATAGGCTATTTTTTACCGCGATAACTAGTCTTAAATAAACTATAATGATTTTTGGCTACGCATTTTTATTTTGGAAATTAAAGCTAACATCTCACCCCATGGTTAGCCCCTCCCATACCGTAAAATAATCACTTCATCTTCTTCGTTTATTTGAAACCAATAGCATTACAATGAGTTGGCGTCAAGCAAGCGGCCAGCAATAAAAGCATCAGTCTTTGCAAAGTGATGGGGGAAAAGGAAGCAAGATGGTGATGTTGAATAATTAAAAGAGATAGACGATGTCCAAGAACTCACCTCGTCTTTATGAAAGTCTTTGAGCGGTTCGACAACCCTGCCTCCTTGTCTTAACACCCGCACGAGCTCTGTGTCGTTGTGATGAGTTTTGATAGTTGCCGCGTTGTTGGAACACAGGGACGATGCCGATTCGATAAGATCTGGTCTGAGAGTTCCCTGGCCGAGAAGGACTTGGTCCTCTCTGAAGAGAAGTATATAAATTATTTATTTCATTTACAAAACAATACAGTTCATAGGGAAGTAATTTTTAATAATGTGTATCTATACTAATATTATAAAGCTGAAGAGTTTGTTTGTTTGTTTGTTTGTTTGTTTGTTTGAACGCGCTAATCTCAGGAACTACTGGTCCGATTTGAAAAATTCTTTCAGTGTTAGATAGCCCATTTATCGAGGAAGGCTATAGGCTATATATCATCACGCTAAGACCAATAGGAGCGGAGCACCAATGAATAATGTTTCAAAAACGGAGAAAATGTATTACTATTGAGAGACGCAGACGAAGTTGCGCGGGTCAGCTAGTCTTTTATATGCCTTAAGTTTCTTAGATTAATTAATGCTGTTGCTTTGTTTTAAATCACATTATTTCTTTTCATTTATTTTGCGATACCAAAAAGACCTAACAAAAGCTATTTGCATGAGAACACAAAATATCATTTTTGTTAAATTATTAAGTACCGTAAATATTTATGAATAGATGGTTACATTTACTAAATCGGTGATCAGAAATGGAACCTGTAATATATTTATTATTAAGAAGTTTTATCTTCGGGCTTACCAAATAGTCAAATATTTAAGTTATCATAAAAATACCCAAATCACTGAACGTTATTTTAGATAGATTTAGATTATTTTAGAAAAAAAGAGCAAGGAATTGGAACTGATGTAAAAACACAATATACTGAAAAGATTTAGAAGCAGTTCAGAAGAGAGGTGTCGTTATACTGACTGCAGGTTGAGGTCGCGCACGGCCTGCTCGGCGATGCGGATGAAGACGTCGCCGATGATCTTGCGCTTGTCCTCAGGCGCCGTGGCGTGGCACAGCAGCGGCGTGTGGCGTGTGCGCCCGCCCGCCTCGCGCACCATCGTGCTGCCCTGACGGAACTGCAGCCGGGGGACGACTCGTTAACTAGCCGTACGACTATACATGCCACGAATACGCGCCAACTATTCACTTTTCGGGCATATTTTTTTTCACTTGAATATTCAGTCATTTTTTTTCATTATTAGGTATTCGACCGAATATAGCAACTCATAACACAGCAAAAAGTTTATTGTTTTCACTTCAAATCCAATAATATTAAGTGATATTTCTAAAAATTCACATTAAAAGTAACACAGTTTAATGTAAACAATGCCAACAATTAAAGTGTGCTTTGACACGGCCCAATCACGTCGTGTCAGTCCAAGTACTTTAATGATTTATGTAGATGTTAAACTCTAACTACAAAAAGCCGAAATATTTGGCGCTTCAGTCAAGAACCTCGCTTAATATTCGGTATTCGGCCAAATCGCTATTCGTGGCATCGCATATTCAAACACTGCTGAAATATCTCTATACATTTGCAGTTTTATTTATATTCCGTTATGGTTTACAGAACTATAAATGCACGCAAACAGTAAAATATGCCACAACAATGAATACCATATTATCTAATCACTTTTATTAAACCATACCTAAGAAATTATAATCATGTCAATAGCGCTAAAAAAATTGCTTCTATAAAAATATAAACTTTTCGGCAGCTTGTCAATTTAATGCAGTCTCGACTATTAAATGCATATTAAAAAATGTTTAGACTCAGTTACGTTGCCTTTTCGTCTTACCTGATGAGCTGCATTGACGACGTGTAAACGAACACCTAGTTCTCTCAGATGTCTCTCTACTTTGGCGCTTTCATTTTTGCGCATGAATCCTGTAAAAAAATATTAATTACTACAATAACAATATTACAATTTGTCTGTACTACAAACGAACAGTAATTCATAAGTCGCATTTTCATTCTACCCTGCGCATTATCTTAAAACCGTGTTTTTTTTTTCTTTTACACAGCTATAATACTATCAAAAGAAATTGAAAAATGTTACCAATTTTCATTTTGTCCTAATAGAATTATTAAGTCAGTCAGCAGGTCAGTGGCCTTTATACAAACGAAAATTTTATTACTATAGAGTTAAAATAAATAATGCCTATTTTGCTTTAAATGCTTATTGAATTTATAATGTTTTATTTCTAAATGATGTTAGAATAATACCAAAAATATTATCACTTAATTCGTGGATTTTGTTTATATAATATTTGCGATGAGGGTAGACTAGACACTTGCAGCTCAAGAGTCACCAGTGTGTTGCTGTCCTTTTAAGTCCCTCCCCCTTTTTTGTTTTTTCCGTGCGGAAATCCCCTCGGATACCACCTATCGGTGGCATGTCGGACTCGAACCGACTAAAACCGCACGCCGTCTCGGGTACTAATAGCCGGGGAACCAGGTATATCCTGAAAGGTCCCTGGTGCCCTGACATACCTCGGGCTTAAGTCCCTTCCCTAGAATTTGTGTTTGGGAGGAGGGAAGAGTATGTGTTCGGGTCACCTCGGTCGGTGAAAAGCAACGAAATAATTGCCTAATACCGGTTCATCTGTTAGGCGGTGGTATCACTACAGTCGAGTTTGCCCACTTTTGCCGAATCATGGCTCTCTCGCATTAATTAATCTAAAGGTATGTAAACAGTATAAGCTAAACTGTCATTTATAGCGTTTTTACATGCAAGTGAATACTGAACTTTCAAAGAATTTACACACTCACACAAAATAAATGTACGCGCCCTATCTATACTAATATTATAAAGCTGAAGAGTTTGTTTGTTTGTTTGTTTGTTTGTTTGAACGCGCTTATCTCAGGAACTACTGGTCCGATTTGAAAAATTCTTTCAGTGTTAGATAGCCCATTTATCGAGGAAGGCTATAGGCTATATATCATCACGCTAAGACCAATAGGAGCGGAGCACCAATGATTAATGTTTCAAAAACAGAGAAAATTTATTACTATTGAGAGACGCAGACGAAGTTGCGCGGGTCAGCTAGTAGTAGATATAAAAGTAAACAAAGTGTTGGACCCTCGCCAAATAAACCAATGTCAACACAAAAACATTTACGCTCGGAGGTAAATATGACGAGAAATTGGGTTGGTATGACACCTACAATAACATTATAAAGAAATATGTGTGTCTAAATCGGGACGGTTTGTATTTATAGAAATTGCTGTGTATTTTTAACGCCAAAGGAGGAGAGGTATAAGGCCTTGTAGCTCCTAAGCAGATGATCAATTCTATGCTCATATTTTACTAAATTTTATTTAAACACACAAAACAATACTGATTTAATTTGACAGTCATCTAACTTCTTAAACAATTCATTCTGTGAAAAGTGTGAAATCATGAGTTGTGACATCATACTTAGCTACTGCCAAATCATTACTTATGTGTCAACAATAAAATAATAACAAGAGACTCGAAAATATTAACGAATATAGTTATCCGTCTTATGCCATACTCGATTTCATGGGGACTGTTAAACTATTAATTTAAAAAATTGGAAACCAAAGTTTTTGCTTAAAGCTTTGCATAAAAAATGTATAAAAAAACTATGACCGCGTATTCATTGCCACTATGTGTTCGATTTCTCCCCTGACTCGGTATGTCCATGTGGTCATCGTCGTGTACGCAATCTGATTACTTACACCTAATTATTACTAGATGTTGGACAAGTTTGCAATAGGGTAGATGTCTGTCAAGTCAAATCAGTACCTTTTTATGTAGAACTATTTCGTGTACTGTGTATTTGTGTACTATTTTGTGACGTCATACCTACCTATTGTCAAATCATTTACATTTAATGTTAATATCAAATCAATAAAATTATTAAATTGATAATGGAGGACAATTCAGGCTCTACTTTAAACTGTTACACTTAATAATGCAGGCGAAATAGTTTATTTTGAACCTAGGACTTTTCTAACCTATTTAAAAATATAAAAACGTAGTAAAGTATTAAACATGTAATGTGATTATATGTATTCTAACCGAAAATTGAATCGGCATAATCGGAATATTATACAACGAAAATACAATTTACGACTCTTGTGAGATGAAGTCGATCGGAACTGAATTGTGACCGAACTTTTCTAGTATATTTCATATGTTTTTTGTTGCATTTTCAGCGTTAGAGACTTACCATTATCAATATGTAAGGCAATGACTTGGTCTTCGCGTAACGCAGTTCTAAGTAACGCCGCACACACAGTCGAGTCTACACCACCGCTTACTAAAACCTGTAAGAGAAAAGTTTTATTTTTAATTATTATTATTTATTAAGAATAACTAAAAAGCCAGGTTTCTATGTGCTGGTCCTATTATTACAACTCGCTTTATATTAGCTTCACTTGTATGTGTGTTTGTAACCGACTCCTTTGGGCGTGATTTTGACTGACTTTAAGCGGTCAGAATTCATTCAATCTTTGTAGATATATCGAGGACCGATGACAATACACTAATTTAAAAAAAATAGTTAAAATGCGTTTTTAGTTTGGTTTTCCATAAAAAGCGTGTTTTTTAGTTTTTTTAACTATTTTTTTTTAGAATTTAAGTTCATGGTTGTTACAAATTGTTGGATGAATGCAAGATTATTTTTGCTCATTTGGGTCTATTAGTCTGCAAATTTTCTTTTTTTTCTATTATTTATTACTTGCTTATAAAGTCTTGGTGTGTAAAACTATGTTTGTAGTTAGATTAGTGCATATATATAAATAGAAACTACATTGGTCGAAGTCAAGAATTCACAGATATCACAAAAATATATTTGTTTTTTGACCCTATTGAAAACCAACAAACAGCAAATTTCTCAAAAAATGTGAGGAGGTGATTGTACTTCACGTTCACCATACAAACGATGTAGAAGCCTAAGCAATAATAATAATTTTCACAAACAGCCATCTGGTCCCAAATTAGGCAGTCTGTATTATGGTAACCAAACTGATGATATACATGTAGTATACTAAATATAGATAAATTACACAGGTACATAACATGCTTATCACATGCTTATTTGTGCTGATTGAGAATCGAACTCACAACCACTAGTCAGGATCACTTACCTCGATTCCAACAAGGTCATTATATCTCGTTTGTATGTATACATATGTTAAATTAAATGAAATTGTCTCTTATTTGGACTATATCAATAATATATAAGGTTCTTCAGTTAAATATTCTTCTGATTATGTGTATTTTAGAAATAATGTGACTCAACTCCTACTCAAGTGAGATTAAAATATTGAGTTCTCGTTGAGTTCTTACTCAGGTTGTTTAAATTGTACCAACAGTATACTTACAAGAACTTTATTATCACCAACAGTTTCCCTTATATACTGTATGCAGGCCTCGCGTCGAGATCGCAGAGTGAAGGTCCGCGACAGTCCTGCGATGTCGAACAGGAAATTTGATAGCATCTGCTTGCCTTTTGGGGTTAGGTCAACCTGTGAAGAATGTATATATTATTGTTTTGATAGAAATTTGCAATTTACCGTATATCTGTTAAGGTTTTACCATATTTTTATATACTTTACACACATTTTGTCTGTTTTTTTATGATTACTAAACTAGGCAGAGCCTATTCCATAGTAACCAGACCGCTCATATAGTTCTAACATAAATATTATAGATAAATTACACCCAGACAGAACAAATGATAATACTCATCACACAATCTTTGTCCTGGGTGGGAATCGAACAAACGTCCTTTAGCCTAGCAGTCAGGCTTACCGACCACTAAACCAACAGTAGTAGTCAGTAAATATTACCTCAGGGTGGAACTGCACGCCGTAGAGTCGCATCTGTTCGTTATATATAGCGGCTATGAGGTGGTTGGAAGACTGAGCGCCGACACGGAACCTCTCGCCAACCTTCTGGACGCTGTCGCCGTGTGTCAATAACACTGGTTGGAGTTTCTCTAAACGACTGTTCAAAGAAAAAGGGATTTGTAGCTTTACATGAATGAATTGTAATAACTGTATTGTCTGATACTATGTACATTCAATATATAAATAAGACTTCTACGCTTCTGGAAGGACCTGAGTTAGCTCACCTAGCACACAAAATTACCTTGACCCATAAAGGACCGTTCTTGAGTCTAAGTCTTGATGCAGAAACCGAAGCCTACCACCAATACCAATACGTTCGAAATAATATAACAAAATGGACAGAATTGAAAAACTTGTATTTTTTAAGTCGGTTAAAAAAAAAGAACCATTAACACATACTTATATATAACGCTTATTGATTAATTTCTCACGCCATATAGTTTCGATATCGTGATTAGAAAGCTATTATGGTGATAATAAACATTATAAATTAAACACGCTCGTATCGGTTTAAAAATCTTTATTTACTCACGATAGAAGTGAGTCCAGACATTTAGTGTTATTTATTTATTTATTTAATTGGCTCACCAACAATTGTATACACTGGTTATCATTTTAAAGACATATTACAATGACTATGAAGTGGCATAGTGTTACAATTACTTATAGGTAAGCACCTCATGTGCTATAAACAATAATTATTTTATGCTTAAATATACTAAAATATACAAGTTTGGCAAAAACAGATAGAATCAAATAAAGTACATTTAAAAAGCATTTTGTACAGTACTGCGGAATTTGGTAAGTGAGTCAGCATGTATATCAACCAGGGCGCTGCAACTATTGAGCAGTTTGCATAAATTCGAATGTGAGTTTGATTGTTACACATTCACGCCTTGGATGCTCAATCGATCACTATGAAAATTTGCATAACGTGTATGCAAATTTTCAGAGAGAGAGAGTCAGAGATAAAAATAAGGAAAAAATAATAACATCTACAATAAAACAGGTTGAAAAAAACTACTACATTATGAACTTAAAGTAGCTACACAAAAAGGTGAATTTATAACACTACATATTTGAATAACAAATTCGTTGGAACCTTCCCTTGATATCCATCTAAATTCATAGAGTGATACTTACTGAAATCATTGATTTAACCAAAGGCCATCTGCGATACAGTTCGGCACATTTTATTATTGGTAAATTAGTAGTTTATTAATTAAATTAGTTTACTTACTTGAACAAGGGACATGTGGTCTCCACTTCCACTTCGTACTGGCCATCTTCACGCGCCTCCTTCCGCAGCACAGAGCCACCGAACTCCTTGTTTAGCATCTGCATACCGTAGCATATTCCTGATGGACAATGTAACTAATATAATAAAATTGTGTGCAGTGTGCATTTTCCGACTACACTTTCCAAGTGCACTTAAAAAAATTAAATTCAAGTTTTTTTTAATTTGTTGATATAACTTTGACGTTTGTTGAGTGTTTCAGAAGGGTAGGGTTTTATTTTTTTGCTAATAACTTATTGTTATCTGATAACAAAACCAACTGATCTTTTATTTCCGTGACGACTGGCAATTGGGTAGTACGACTACGAAAACGTTTTCTGATTCTCACATTTTTTTTCAATATTGACGCTAGAAAAAGTATTAGTACATAAAATCTTTTTTTAATTGGATTCTAAGCTTGACCTTCCAACTTTTTCTTAACAATTGTGACAGAGGTAGCTTATATTTAAAAAGTATGGTCACGGTACAAAAAAAACAGTCATCAGCACCAACCGTTTTAAATCGAAAAAAATAGTTTTAAACCGGCCTTACATCTATAGTCATATTACTTACCTAAAACAGGGAGTCCAATCTTGAATATATCTGAGTCGTATCTAGGTGCATCTTCGGCGTATACTGAGTTGGGTCCACCAGATATGACGATGGCTCGGTAGCCAGCCTCTTTGAGGTGGTAGGCTGGTGTATCTAACGGCAAGATCTCTGACTCCACACATAATTCACGTATGCGACGGTCTATTACCTGGGTAAAATTTAGTTTATTTAATCCTTGTCTCAAAAGGATAACTTTTAAGTTCTAGCGAGTGAAAAAAAGGCATTTTTTACAACCAGACTGTGTTGGATTTGTTGCGTTATAAAATGAGAAGACTTCAAAACTGATTACAAAACTACAAAAACAAAATTAAGAACATCGCTTTTGTTCTAAGAGATTTCGATACAAAAGAAATAAAAATAGTGGCAAGAGAAAACTTGCCGAAAAAAGCGTAGCCTCACTCTTCCGTATTGTTAAGCAAAACAACGAAAATATTATACATTGAGAATGAGTGCTTCCTATTTTTAAAGCTATAAACGAGCGAGATAAATAGATGGAACATGAAGGGTATTTCAATATTCATTAATTTCAGCTTGCAGCAAACAGGTTTACGTTACATCACTATTAGTAAATATTACGTAGTTGTGACGTATTCCACGGTACTAATTGATAAATTTAAATGTATTTCTTTCGAGAAGATCTTATCGAGCGCAAAATTTGATTGATTAAGTGACACTGAACTCAACCTTCGATAAAAATCGTTGGCGATACTTGTGTATTACTCATTAATTCCTTCATTGCCTATATTGTCGTTTAATAAAATAAATTTACTCAGTAATCCAAATTAATGTTGAGTGAAAGAATTAGGTCAAACCAAGCGATGTCAATATACATGAAGCCGATTTCTTCGATTTGACATTAGTGATTTTGTGGCCTAGAGTTATTTATTGCACATTCTTTTTCGCAATTTATATGTTGCAGTTGCTTGTATTGAAAACCTTCACTCAATACACTACGGTTAAAGTATAATAGTGTTTATTTAAGGCGGTCATCCTGTATTAGAGTTTCAGGGTATGTGAGGGACACTGTAATGTGTGATGTTGTAAAAGTAGTTATTAAAAAAAATATTTTTCTTTGGTATGGAGAAATGAGTAATTTAATTTAATGGGATTAATCCCTTCCACGCACCCACCAGGAAAAAAAATTGGAGTAGGAAGAAAAAGAATGTATTCTAGACTGACATGCTGCAAATTAATCTAACATAAAACAATTGAAATCTTTATTAAAGACCCCTAGGGTCCGTATGTTGGACATACATGGTTGTTAACATACACTCGTGAGTAAAATTGTACATTTTTGAAGAGATATGAATATGCAGTAAACCTACCTTTCCATACTGGGATCCAGCGTCTAATATGGCGACCTTGTCACGTCCATGGGCGGACCCGTTAGTGCTTCGGAACTGCCCCTCTGTGACCGTGTGCATCTTGCCTACTCGCCAGCAGCACTAACATGAAAATGGCCGTTCATTAGGTAATATTTTTATTTAGATAGTGATGAAATATTGATCTTTGACTCGTATATTTGAAATATAAACAAAAATTGTCACCAAGCTTTATATCATACTAGCTGTGCCCTGCCACACTTCACTGTGGTTGTATTGATGAGAAACAAAACTAATGCGAAAATTGCATAAAATCGTATAAAAATATATCGTGACAAAATTTGAGCTCAATCGGTACAGAACTTTCTGAAGTGTACACAAAGCAACTTAAATTTTTATACATATATACTTGTTCAAAGCAATTCAAGATTCTTCAATTTTCCTTTTTTAAACCTCATGATCTGGATTAGATGTTACAAGAATCTTTCTTATTAGGGTGCTTTTCAAGGTATTCTATAATATGATAACTTTACTTTTACCAATATCTGTCAGTAAAATAGTTTTATAAAAACTTAGATCTAGCACCCCACGTTTTTATGCAATATGATTTTTTTGAACTGAAAATATTTCCAACTTTTGGCTGGCTACAAGATTTTTTTTAAACTATAATTTATTTCCTTTTTGTTTATTGACAAGCTGAGATAAATAAAAGAATTTGGGATGATACTTCTTTATATGTAGATAGGAAAAAACATATCTGCCTGCCTGTCCTCTGTTTATTGACCAATTTTCTTTTTCTGTTTTGTGACGAGTTTTTGCATTATCATTCAATATCAAAAAAATGCTAAAAAAAGATTCTTTTTACCTAATTAGATTAAAGCTTATAGGTATTGGCTCCAAATAAAACAGAGAAGTACCTTTTTCTTATATCATCATTATCAGCCTATCGCAGTGCACTGCTGGACATAGGCCTCTCCCATTGCACGCCACTTTTCATATATGATGTGTTTTTTTTTCATATGGTTTAGTATCTATTGATGAAAACTATTTGCATTAATAACAGGTGACAGGGCTTTGACATTTTTATTTTGAAACCTCCTGTCTTAGGAAAAGTCTTTGACCAGCAGTGGCCTGTCATAGGCAGTTAATGATGATTTAGTCACAAAAAAGTAAGTAAGTGTGATGACAAAAAAATTTAGGAAGAAATTCTTTTATATTTTTCAATAGGTATTTTTAATAGTAATCATGTATATCTGTAATAGTAATCATCTATATCAGTAATATTAATCGTTAGTATCAGTCTGACTAATCTAAGGACGGAGGAATGCTTTTACATTCGTTTGCTATGAGTCTCAATAAACACACTTGAGACTTACAGCAAGTCTACCTATTTATCATCTACCACATTGACCTTATCTGCAAGTTAGTCATTTTTCATGATTGGACAAACCGGAAATTGGATAAACAGCATATTATCTTTCTTCACCACCAAAGTGTAAAACTTGCATACACATGTTGGTTACATATATTACAACCTCTTTAAAATTCCTCTTCAATACCTTTTTTCAGCCTAAATGGTAAAAACAATTTGATGGAGTGACTGGAGTTCAATTTTGTTTAGTTTATGTGTCCCTTTTACATGACAGACTAGACCATTTAGAGAAAGGTAATCTATAAAATGATAGTTTTCTGGAAATGTAGTATAGTAGTAAGAGATTCATTTCGCCCATTCTTATTAATGTAGGATCTGCAAATCATCAATTTTACAGGAGTGTGTCAAATTTTAAAATTGCTTAATTTATATATATATATTTACTTTGTTAACAAGACTATTTCAAAAACTATGAGGGAAAATTGACTTTTTGTTAAAGCTGCTGGAAAACATTGTTTTTTTTTAGGTCAATAGTAAAATAAAAGCAAAATCAAGAAAATTGCATATCCAACCTTCTTTATAGGGACAGGCGATTTGTATTAGTGACTATTTTTATCATATTGGTAGTTATGTTTCAGAATTATTTATTAGACTAGTTGGCAGCTAAATTTTCAACACAAATATATATTTATTATGAATTAAATTATACTATTGTTATTAAAAGCAAAAAAATTGTTTCTGTGTTGTTTAGTTTATTTCTTGAAACCTATATTTCATTTATACACTGTGGCGGTATAGATATCACAAAAAATGAAATAACAGATAACACGGTTCAATATACGTCGGTTAAAATAAAAAAATAGTACGAAAATACAGAAATGCAAATTTAGAACAAACTAAATACAATAAAATAATTTCCGAATTAGAACACCATTGATAACATGAGTCGGTGAACTGTACCTACACGGCAGCGTCGCAATGTCGGCGACATCAAAACGACGCCGCCGCCGCCGCGAGCAGGCGAACTTTACATTCTTATTACCTAACTACCAATCACTTCACTTGCTTTTAAAAATCTATTTATAAAGAATGCGATTTTATTCACGTGTTTATTTCGTGAATGCTCGACTAGCTTCCGACCCAGCAGTACGCGTCACTCCTTGAAAAAGTAGTTACCTTGGTTGTCTCGTAATCTTTGTACCGCCCTTACAAAAATTCGGCAGTCTGTAGGACATACACGATTGACTCCATACGTGTCCGAAAAGCAAAAGATGCGTTTTGATAGAGTTTTCCATAAGCAATAAGACTAAACAATTATTACCACAAGAAAACTTCTCTAAACAAATATGTATCTCATAAACAACAACAATATTATTATTACGGTTATTTGTCGTGAGCGCATCTACAAGGATACGGAATAGCATAAGCTCGCCGGTGGCCAAGGGCCGACTGACTGTCCTTACTGGATGAACTAATTAAAAACGCGTGTTGCATCGTGATGACGTAATAATCAACATATTTCGTTCGATTCGGGTGTAGTAAAAGCGGCAACGTGTGATTACCGCGTATACCTACAGCTGATCGCCGCCTGAGGTCAATGTATTATGAATGCATGTACACATGATGTTGCAATTTACGAAACACAAAAATGAGTCCTGTGGCTAAACTACTGGATATATTTTGTTCATATTTTGCAAATCGCCTAGAAATTAAGGGCAGAATATGTGGCTTAAGTATTTGGGATAGGAAATGAAACTCTCTGTATAAATATGCATACATATTTCTGATATTTATATTATATAAATATGCATAAGTATTTCAGTTGCTAAGACTTAAAACCAATTGAACACCACAGCATGAAATGTAATAATTGTATAGTAATTTATTTTCTTACATTACTTTGGGGAACATAGAGCAGTGCAAACAATTCTGCACTGTATTACATACTTATGTGACTTCTTATACATTCAAGAAAAAACTATTCCTTATGAAAAAGTAATTTTTGGAGTTCATTGACCTTTGTTTTGTTTGAAAAGAACATCTAAAACATATTTATGAAACACTTATTAAATTATTTGAATATTACTTTATTAAATTTATTTCGTTGTTTAAACTGTTTGCCTATGTCCAGCAGTGGACTGTTATAGGCTGTTGATGTGATGTGTGATGTGATGTTTAAACTGTTTGTTGTTTATTGGTAGGTTTATACAAAAGTATTTCTATTTTTAATGGACCTCAGTATAGTAACCACAAAATTTATTTCTTATTAGACAATTATTAGACAATCCAATAAAAGTGAGTTATTTTTAAATTAACCATTGCATTAAAGAAACTTAAATTAAATGAATATAAAATAAATAAAATAATCTTTTCTGTAAGGTTAAATAATAAATAAGGTTATCACCATGTACCTACTATTGATAAGAATTCCTCACTAAGTTTATATACTAATAATAAAATGTAATTTTATATTTGGCAGATTAAAAGGGAGCACGTGTCGAAACCAATGAATACATATTTAAACAAAGAACATTTTTCATACTCACCTTTCTGAGATTGCAAAACATGTCACTGGTGTGATTAACAAAGCATACATTATTTGATAGAAATAAGATGATCGTGATCCAATGATAGCAAGGTAGATAAGAATAAGATAAAAACTAACATTTGTTGATGAAAAACTAGAATAGTAAAAAATATTCGTAACAGACCGGACAGTGTCACGCATTCAGTAAAACAAATACTTCACGTCTCAATTCCAAGCGTGAACTGCACTCTGTTAAGTCGTTATTTTTGATGGATAACTGATTACAATGACACGTAAAACTGTGCGAAATGCTATGAAAATGTTATGTGAAACCGGGCTTTGACATTAGGTTTTGGGTCATAACCAGAGGGACATATCGCAGCAGCCATTTCTATTCATAAAAACTATGTTTTACCACATTAGAAGTTTAGTAGACAGTTTTTTACACTTACCTAAAAGAAAATATTAGCTAATTCAGAGGAATATGTTCATCTAAATACGGCAAAATGTGATTCCCCATTCAGCACTACGAATACAAAATTCTAGTACTGATGTTAGCTGTCAGATGGCGCACGCACCGTTTTTAACAATTCAATGCGTTCCAAAAAAAATTGTGTACGATTTTTAGTTAAGGTACTGCTGATCCTAATGTCTCGTGTGACTTTAATAGTCATTGAGCATTTAAGCAATAAAATGGTCCGAAAAAATTGTGTTTTTACTAAAATATTTTTTACTAAAAATAGTCTGAAACTATAATTTTAAAAACATAATGAACGCATTTTTTATTTTGCTTGTCATGCAGAGTACATTCCTTTTATTGCAAGATCGATGTTCGTTTTTAGTTATTATTGAAATGTTATAAAGCCAATACATTCAAGTTTTCATGTACCGTTAGATTGAAAATTTTTAAAAGAGTAAATGATAAACATTAGTATCAGACACACATAAAAATTTAATAACCCTATGTAAAAAAAAAAAAATTATACCCTTCAAAAAGTTTGCGTGGTACGAATTATCCAAGGGAAGCGTTTCTTTACACATAGCAGTTTTTGTGAAGATGTAACTTTTGCAACAGGTTTTCCAAACTTTTAGCAAGAATTGAGAATGCGTAAAACGGATCGTATGCTTTGTAGATTGATGACGGTCGAGCGTTCAGCATTCAGCAGTTCCACAAAATAAATAGTTTGAAGATAATTACCTCAAAATGCCTGACCATTTAGGAGACGATATGCGTAAAGTAAAAGATGATAAAGAAGAACCCGAAAAAGAAATCAAATGTAAGTAACACTAACAGAGATCGTTTTTTCATCGTATAACCCATTTTAGTAAGACCACAATAATTTTTCTTGCAAGAATTGGTTACCCACTAAATTAATTTAATTTATTTTAGCACTGGATGAGGGCGATATAGCACTTCTCAAATCATATGTAAGTTTGGATGGATTATTATTCGTAATTTAAGACAATAGTTGATGACTGGCAGTTTTTCAATGGAATGTTTTTAAATATAGGGCCAAGGGCAGTACATGAAGATCATTAAAGAAGTGGAAGATGGTATACAGACAGTGATGAAGAGGGTTAACGAATTGACAGGTATCAAAGAATCAGACACAGGATTGGCGCCTCCAGCTCTTTGGGACTTGGCCGCTGACAAACAGACACTGCAAAATGAACAACCATTACAGGTATTTGTGATTCTTTGTACACATTATACGAAAGAATAATAATAATTTCACACATCTTACACATGGCAGTCTGATCCCAAACAAAGCAGAGCCTGTTCCCTGGTAAGTAGACTTATTAAACATACTTATATATTTCATAAAACTATAAATATGTACATATTATAGAAAGTACTACTTTACAAAGTAGTATTTTATTTCAAATTTCATTTTAAAAAAAGGAGTGCCTTTATTCAATTTTCAAGTCATTGTTCTAAGAAGGCTCAATAGCCAGCTCAATCCTGTTTAAATCTTAGTCAGGGAGAGTAAAGAAAGAAACCTAGACTAAAGCATTGTTAGGTTTCTGATACAACTCTCCAATAGAATTATATTGCGATGAACATCTTTACCTCATTGAGTCTGTTGGTAGAGCTACATGTTGCAGTACATTTGAATAATCTGAGTAAACACGTGTGATGATGATCCTTCATTGATTTCCGTCTCAGCAACCGCTTCAACTCTGTAACTGGGATCCTCCCAATCTAATAGTATAATAGGTGCGGTCCATAAGGAGGGTCACCGAGTATAATGCCCTCACCAAAATCATGCATATGAAATTAAAGAATTCATTAAAAATTAAAAATAAAATCTTTTATTTTATTTTTTTCTGAAATCTACTACTATCTTTTATGCAATAAGCGATTATTAAATCCCTCCAAAATATCAGCTTGCAGCTGTGCCTGTCTGATAGTTAAAGATTTGGGTACAGTGTGGACATGTAAGAACATGTTAATTCAGCTCTACCTCATTGCCATGACATTATTATATTGTTATTTTCACAGGTGGCGAGATGTACTAAAATTATCAATGCAGATTCAAATGATCCCAAATACATAATAAATGTGAAGCAGTTTGCCAAGTTTGTGGTGGACTTGGCTGACTCTGTGGCACCAACTGACATAGAAGAGGGCATGAGAGTTGGGTAAGGCTTCTATCTAATATATAAAATTCTCGTGTCACATGTTAGAAGTTGAACTCCTCCGAAATGGCTCGACCGATTTTCGTGAAATTTTGTGTGCATATCGAGTAGGTCTGAGAATCGGCCAACATCTATTTTTTATACCCCAAATTTTTTTTTTACAATTTTTTTTAAATAATTTATATTGCAGAACAACGTTTGCCGGGTCAGCTAGTCTTTCTATAATATAATGCATGTTTAATTAGATATCTACTGATTGTTTCTATATTTGTATGTGGTTATCAAAAGTTATGGTGATTAAAATGTTTATAAATTAATTTTAAGGCTGTATGAAAAAAGAAGTTGTATTTACAATTTGTAATAAATATAATGAAAGTTCACTAAATTTATTTGCATGTGCATGAAAATATGAGAATTTTCTTATAAAGAAAGTAAGAAAAATCTCAATTGTAATAAACTATTGAGATCATATTACAAGAACAAACTTAAAAAAGTATGCAAAACAGTGAATTAATGTGAATGCAACCTTAATTTGAATATCGGAGAGCTTTTATTAAAACACTTGTATGGAGGATGTTTTAAAGCTAAGCATTTTCTTTGAACCTCTCCAAAATCAAACAGTTCACTATTTTTCAACTTTGTATCTTGAGGTTGATATAAGGATATTACTTTGAACAATATCTTTATAGATATATCAAGTTAGTTTTTTCATGTGTTATCTGTGTGTGTGTTAGTGTTTTTGCTTTAGGTTCTTTTATAAGGTTTGTAAACTGCTCTGGGCCAGTATTTACCACACTAAATACATATTGAGGGTTCCTATGTAATGTCATGTAAATTAAGGGATACTGTAGGACTGTCCTGTAGGTGATCAGTAGGCAAACCCTCAATAGGTCTAACTATGGAATAACTGATGAACTGAATTAGCTCAGATTAAAGAGTAGTAGATAGGTAGGTAGTGCTTCTAAATTGTTTTTACATTAGAATTCTTTTTGCATTATCCAGCTAAACACCAAACTCGTTCACTTTGTCAGACATATGTGTCTCTTTCTCTTATTTTCTTTTTATTTTATTCAGGCTGATTAAGTTTTTAATTTTCTAGTGTCGACCGCAATAAGTATCAAATTCACATACCTCTACCCCCAAAGATCGATCCTACGGTAACGATGATGCAGGTGGAAGAGAAACCCGATGTGACATACAGTGATGTTGGAGGATGTAAAGAGCAGATTGAAAAACTTCGCGAGGTCGTCGAAACTCCCCTTTTACACGTAAGTATATTCGAACATTTACTTTGATTTTATTAAAAAAAAAGAATAAGTTGGTTTGTGTGCGCTTCAAAAACTCAAAAAGTTCTGCACTGATTGAGCTCATATTTTGATATGATTTACAACCTGCTTCAGAGAGGGTTTTATCTGTTTTTCGCGTTAGTTGTGTTTCTCATTTCCCATTATTGACTACAATGTGTCACATCGCATTGAAAAACGTAGCAGGGACTGCTAGTAATCTATAAACAGCCATGAGTTTTCCATTTCTGCGTTTTCATGGAACCCGTAACACAAAGTAGACTTTAGTGAAACATAAATGTGATCATTATGCAGAGCCGAAACCACAGAGTTTTCTATTTGATTGTTTCTTTATTTAAATAATATAATAACTTAGAACTAATTGTTTAATTCTAATGAAATCTATAGGTTAAAAATATAGGTTAAAAAAAAATTATAAATTTGATTTGACTTTATAAAATGTATTTTTTTTGTAACAGCCTGAAAAGTTCGTGAAACTAGGTATTGAACCGCCTAAGGGTGTGCTGTTATTCGGCCCCCCTGGTACTGGCAAGACGCTTTGTGCGAGAGCAGTCGCTAACAGAACGGATGCCTGTTTCATCAGAGTCATTGGTGAGCATATATACATATTGGTATTTGATTTATATTATTGAATGTACTCACAAAGGCTTTTCTGGTAGAGGACTATGGTACAATTTTCTCGTCACAAAGGAACAAGGGAGAGAAAAGCGTCGCCTAGCCCATTCAGATCTGAAAATGTTAAGACTCTTGTGTACATTCCGGGTATACCCGACTAGTTTCGTACTCGACTGGGGTTATTTTCAAGACATCCTTAGCATCCTCTCGGGACAATGTCCATCATCATACTTCTACGTTTAACAGATAGGCTGAAGTATAATTAAATGGGGAGTAAAGAAAGAGCTCTGTCACTAAGTATGAACAGATTTCTGATACGTCTCCCCTACAGTATATTGACTGCTCAAAATACTTTTGTCAATCATCTCATATATTGACAGAGTAGCTATTTTAATGTTGAAGCTGTACAAATATATAATATTATTATCATTTCAATTTTTAACTGGCTTCTAAAAAGAAGGAGGTTCTCAAATTGATTTTATTTTTTGTGTTTACTGTTATAAATCATTTCTTTATTAGTTTAAGCAATTAAGGATTAAAGGAATAAAGAATATAGTATATTTCAATTGATCACGATGTAGGCAAATTTAAGTTATGTTAGATGAAGTTTAGTGTAGTGTTTTAGCATAACAAAACTATGTTTATCTATATTTCATAGTTTAAGTAAATAATTCCTACCTTGTTAGAGGGCTCGGGCTTCCTTGTAACAGTAAGTCGATTCTGCTATTTTGTGGTGATGTTGTCGTACAAACCACTGTCATTCAATTGACACGCTATTGGGATGCCATTGACATCGGTCAAAATATCGGTATTCTACTAACACAAATTCAGAATGTCAATAAACTGTAGTACATAGGCCTCTCCTATTGCGCGCCACAAAGTAGTGAAATGTAGTGTTCTTGTCTAATTAGGTTCGGAGCTGGTACAGAAGTACGTAGGCGAAGGTGCTCGTATGGTTCGTGAACTGTTCGAGATGGCGCGCAGCAAGAAGGCCTGTCTTATATTCTTTGATGAAATCGACGCTATTGGTGGTGCTAGGTATGTTAAAGTCAGTTAATAACTAATCATAAGAAACATGTCGTAATGATAGATCTATATACCCCTGGGGTGGGAAACAAGCATACGGTAGTTTGTGTTAAGTGGTTATATCCGTCTATAAGTACCACCACCGTAAGTGTGGCTATAGGTACTCCTATTTCTATTGTTTAATTAAAAAAAATAAGTCAACTCCCGCACTAGGAATATATCATGTGTCGCGGGGGACTTTACAGTCAATTTACATAATTCACTCACACTCAGCGCAGAAGGAAGCGGCGAGGTAACCGTTTAAACCATTACGCCATCCGTGCAGAGAACATTCATTGCCTAAGCATTCTGGCCACCCTCTTGGCCTCTAGAAACAGACCTATTTTTTTTTGCAAAAGTTACATCATTATTTACATACACACAGAATAAACCAAAAACATGTAAAGTTCAAGGTTAAATTTGGTAGATGGATAGATAACACTTATATTATTATGTTAACTATTCTTACCGTAGTAGTTTATATAGACAATTACCTGATAGTAAAATATTATCAAAATTGGTCCAGCCGCTTAGAAGATTACCCGCAACAAACATACAGACAGACAAAAATATTTAAACTAGTTGTTAGGCATAGGTATCATGCAAATCACCATGTGAACATGAAAAACACCTATTATTTTGACATTACAGAAAGACACTTCAATTTTATTTATTTGTATGGATGTGTGTATGTACTGTACACTATGTACAGATAATGAACATGCACATACAATGGCTACCGTGGTGCTTAATGCAGTCTCCTAAGGAACATAGGGTGTCTCAACATGAGTCAGGGTGTGGTCTCTGTAGAAGGCCACAGTAGTAACTTAAATATAGGTGTTATAAATATAGACATAATAATAAAACTTCACCTTGGTACTTTGTGTAGGTTTGATGATGGCGCTGGCGGTGACAATGAAGTTCAAAGAACTATGTTGGAGCTTATCAATCAGCTGGATGGTTTTGATCCTAGAGGAAATATTAAGGTATGCAATTACTGCTCTTTTTCTGTTTTGATAGGTCTAACTCAAACTCACTTTTTTGTTCTGATAGGTCACATCCGTTTTATTCTAGTCTTAGATCATATTTGTCCCTCGAATAATATCCCTCGTGATAGAGGGATGTTATTCCAAGTATTGTTATTAATTAAATAATTAAAATATTGTTGTTAGTCATTATAAGCATAATAAATGATAATTAAGTTTAAATATCACATTAAAAGAAAGAAAAATCTTTTGTACTTAGTTTAGGACAATTAATGAGGTTTCAAATATTTTATCGTATACATTTCTTTTTTTTCATAGTTTTCGTTCTCCATATCTCCAGTTTCTTATTAAGATACAATAAATGTTTGGTAAAAGGGTACTTGTGGTAAGGAGATATTTCATTGGAGATTTACTCATTTAAATTGCTTAAGTTGGGAGAAGCTAGTTGTGATCATTCAACTTAAATTTATTGTTGCGTGGGTCGTCTGTCTGTATTTCTGAATTTAGTTTTTACTTAAAGAAAATTATTCGCAATAAGTAAAGTGCGCGACTCAACTCCTTTCTCAAGATTTCAGACATTCCTTTATATTATAAAGGAATTAATACAGGCTTAACGACTGCATTAATTAGATTTTATTTTACGTGTTCCTCAGTTAGTAAAGTAACAAAAAGTAAGTTTTCAAAGATGTAATAATGAGAGACTATTCGGTGACAGGTGCTGATGGCGACGAACCGGCCCGATACGCTGGACCCTGCGCTGATGCGGCCGGGGCGGCTGGACCGCAAAGTGGAGTTCGGGCTGCCCGACCTGGAGGGCCGCGCGCACATCTTCCGCATCCACGCGCGCTCCATGAGCGTGGAGCGCGACATCCGCTTCGACCTCCTCGCCAGGCTCTGCCCCAACTCCACCGGCGCCGAGATCAGGTACCACTGCGCTCACTCTACTATCTTATTGTTATTCTGTGCCTAGCCTGTCTAGAAAACAGCATCAGCTAGTGTGAGAGATTTTTTCTATTCTAATGGTACTACATGTCTATTGGACCATGATTGGTGATTGCCATGTGTTAATTACTTGATACATAAATACGCTACAAGATCAAATGTGTACTACTACGTGTTATACTTCGACCTTTTTTTTGTAGTAAGAATCGAAAACCTAATATAGTTTTAAATTATTGTTGGAAATGGTGATAAAATAAAAATACATACTTACTTCTGGTTGAAGACTTGTGTTGATCTCAATAGAGTATACTATCAACTAAGCATGGAATAAAATCACAATCACATGTGATAAATCATATGAATAGGAAATCATATCATCTCACATGTGACTGATTTACAAAACCGCTGCTACTTTATTATTATTAGTACGCTAGCGCAAGACTCGCGAAAAGGCCAAATTTTAATTAAAAAATAGGTCGTAATCTTTGATAAAAAAAAACATTGATTTTAATACCATTTATCTTTGTCTATGAATCACAATAAAATGTGAAGTTGCTGTGACTAAAAACAAATCAAATGAATATAATTTAAAAGTAGCAATAACTCCCATGTCTACTACCAACATAAACAAAAACTCTTATCTTTACAATATGTGCACGTACAAGGCTCTGCCTAGTTTGGGATTTATTATACCTCCTTTTTTACTCTCAATCTATAGCTTACTGCCATTCCTCTAATTTTCTTCTAATTAATTTTGTTGCGGCTTCCAAGACAATTTTAATTCTTTCTCTTTAATCCATATCTGGCTTCTCTCTCGTGTAATGAAATGTTCCCAACCGTGTTTAGTATTCATAACTCGTCTGTCCGGCCAGGTCGGTGTGCACGGAGGCGGGTATGTTCGCGATCCGCGCGCGGCGCAAGGTGGCCACGGAGAAAGACTTCCTGGAGGCTGTCAACAAGGTCATCAAGTCCTACGCCAAGTTCTCTGCCACGCCCAGATATATGACATACAACTAACTACCTTATCGCTATTACGAACTAAGTGTATTTTTCATTGTATATTATACAAGCAAAGATCCTTTTTATTATAATAAACAAATCTAGTTAAAATACTGTTATTTTTAACTAGATTTGTTGCTTATGCAAGGATTACCTTTCCTTTTAAAAGTAGTAAGCAGTATTAGTCCTATGAATAACATGTGATATACAGATTTTTTAACCGTTTGACGTTCAGTTCTTAACAAGATGCCAAGGCTACACAAGTGGTACTTATTAGTCGTTAGATAAATATAGCTAATACTAGTTGCTTTTAAAGACTCGCAGAACTGAGCCATCTGGCTTTAAGCTACTTTTTTAATGTTTGGAAAAGAGGACTACCTATTTATTAGACATTTGTATAATACTAACGAAAACAGATGCAACTGTATTATACAATGAAAAACACAAGCGATAAGGGTCTGTATTTGTGAAGTTCACTGTTTAATTTTTTCGAATTAGATAAATGAACAGCGTGAGCGATATCACTGCTTAGGGAATAATAAATTTGTTTAATACGTCACTAATAAATATTATTGTATAGAGAAGTTTTTTATTTGTGGAAGCCTCTTGTACTCAAGTTAATTTTAGGTGGGAATGTAACTCAACACAAATATAGAACGAGAACACATACGAAATGAGTGTACAATTATAATAGCAATTGCACAAAATAACCAAACCATAATTTAGAAATAAACATTTAATTTATTTGTCACTTATATGTGTTTAAGAGGCTTCATTGACGGACAGGGAGGATAAAAAGCTGTAAGGATGGAGAAATCATAGGAAACGACACATCGGCAACTAAAGGGACTAGTTAGAGGCATATTCTTTTTTTTTCTTTAACAAGATTTTTCATGGATTCGATCGGAAAATTAAGAGAATTTTGAAAGAAAAGATAGAAAAGAAGGGTAAGTTATCATAGAAAATGGATATATCATTATACAAATTGATTGGGGTGTGTAAGAAAGTTCTAGAAATTCTCAGATTCACACTGTGACCCATAGAGATATAATAAAAGAGAAAACGGAACAATGTAAAAGAACACGGGGTACAGTTGCTTGTAAGTGGATGCGATACAGGCAACGAAAGAGATGGATGCCCGATATTTCCCTCTGACTCTGTTTAGCTACGCTGCGATTGGCTACTTATTAACCCCTCTTATCCCCCAGTCAACTACAAAGCTTCCGTGTGGTGACGGATTGAGAATACTGAGTGTCACCACCCTTATTTATCCCGTAGGTGTCGTAAGAACCGACTTAGGGAGCAAATTACGCAGGACAACAACACTGCAAAGAGAAGGAAAACTTGACACAAACCCTATACCAACCCGTCTGGCCAGCGTGATATAGTAGGCCAAACCCTCCTTTCTAAGGAGAGGTCTATGTCCAGCAGCGGACTGGTACAGGCTTTGATAATGAACCGCAGAGCTCGACTAGAAACAGATAAAGGGGACTGTCTCTATGTCCATTTCTCTCATTGCCTATATTGCAAGATTAGGGCTCTTGTTACCTCTAGGTTATATCTCTATGCATGTGACCTGAGTTTACTATTGTCAAGATGTCCGAGCTCTCTAACCGATTGCTAAGTATGAAGTATAACAGATTTGATTTGACAGTGAACCACCATAAAATGAGTTTATCAAGATAACTACTCCGATCTTTCCTGGTCTACAAACAATATTTTTAAGACAAAAGTAAGTATTTTTACTATAAAAATTATACTGTGGGTAGTACTAGTTGTGACTCTGCTACGTCAGTGATTATTTGTTATGTAAAATAGTTTTTTAAGCTGGCATTACCGATGTTATTGTCGATTCCGATTATCCGATGCCCGATGTTTCCATGTTCTGATGTGACTGTAGCGAGTGTAGCGGGGTATATACTCATTTTCTAAATAATCTAAGGCATTTTCATCAATATCGAAGTTAGTTCGAGGTTATTCTAGTAAAAATAAAAAAAGAATTACATTTTGCGAGGAAACTTTATATGAGAAAATTTATATTTAGCAGAGGGTAGTTTAGAACCATTAGGTATATTAATGTCACATAATATGTCGATGTTGACATAACGAAAACTTTACTTTCAAGTTTCTCCTAAAAACTAAAATTGCACATTGCACAACATAATGCCGCAAACCGTAAGTAGTCAATCGTTTTATTTTAACCAATTATTGACCGAGAACTTATTTATTTGTGACAGAAATGGTAATAGCAAAGTTAATAATACAGGGACAGAACGGTTTTATAACCTTAATTCAGTTTTAGCATAATACCTCAGGCATTTTAATGTTCCAACGATGTTTTTGACCTACCTATCAATGTTAGCCTTCCATAACCTCGTAATAACATCAGTAGAGATCCAGCTCCATAATTTTGGTTCGTAATATTGAAGTATCGAGTTCATTTTCCGTAGTTTACTCATGCACTTAGTAGGTAATGAAAGTTATCTCTACTACCCATTAAATCGTTTGGATTGACAATTGGATAGACAATTCAAATATGTAATAGGTTCGACTAACATTATAAAATTGCAATGTATTATTATTAGGGACTTCATTACAACTCTATTATGTTTTTAAAGCGAAGTTGCCTAAAAGGTATTGGACTGTGTTTTAAGAATTAGTTTTACACAGAATATACAAACATAAAATAAAATAAATAAATAAATTCTGTGTTATTTGACGAACCTGTTGGTCTAGTGGTTAGTGACCCTGACTGCTAAACCGGAGCTCGTGGGTTCGATTCCCATCCAGGACAAATAATTGTGTGATGAGCACGATGTTTTTTTCTGTGTCTGGGTGTAATTTATCTATAATATGTATGTATTTAGGAATATATAAATATGTTTATCAGCAGTTTGGTTTACCATAGTACAGGCTCTGCCTAGTTTGGAATCAAACGGTCGTGTGTGCGAAGTTATTTTTTATTTATTATATCTATTATTTAGGTTGGTTAGGTTAGTTTTTTAATAAGTAATTAAAAATGTTATCGTGTTTATATACAGCAGGTTCTATTTAACAAAATGCTGTTTACCTTTACTTTGTTTTATTCCATCTAACCCGATGATAAAGTTGACCACTGTTAAGTTTCCAGCAGTTAGGAACACGAATGTAGCATGTTCTATCAAAGTTTGCTCCAGAGTTCTTTGCTGTTGTGTTTCTTTGAGTTGGGTTCTTTTCCTTTTGTGACGAGGGCAACACTTTAAAAGGTTTTGGTCATTGGATTATAACTGTTAAGTTTCTTAGGGTGTTTACAGTTTATTTGTGTTTACAGGACGCGTACACAGATGTGGTGGAGTTGTGCGCCTTGCTGCAATGCTTGGGGTTCAGTGTGAAATCCCTGGACACTAGTGATGGGAATGTGAGTCACGATGCCGGGCTGCGCACCGTTGTTATTAATTGTCAGGTAAAACTATAGGAAATAATAAATGTCTTTATATGAGATACAATTCTGAAATGTAAGATGTGTGATGATGTGTAAGATTGTCTGAAGTCATCTACGACATCTAGGTATAAGTATAAACCATACAGCGTCTTGAAAAAATGTTCGATTTTATTATTTACTATCTTGAATTCATTGATTATTATAAAGTTACTGATAATTAACTAAAGAAACTATCTTGTTAAATTTTTCGAGTTGAAGAAACACTGGAAAATCCACACCGTGAATAATATTGAGAGACAAAATTTAATTTAAATTGTTTATTGTCAATGTACGGGGATTCCCGGGTTTTCAATATATATGTAAATTAAATTCTGTGTTTATGATCGCCTATCATCAGTTGACTCGATGGCACGGATGGCGTAGTGGTTTAATCGGTTACTTCGCCGCTTCGTACTGCGCTGAGTCTTGTGGGTTCGATCCCCAGATGGGACAACATTTTGGATTATCCATAAATTGTTGTTCTGAGTCTGGGTGTTCTTTGTGTTCGTTTAATGTGTGTTTGTGAAGTCCCCCGCGACACAGGATGCGGGAGTTGTCTTTTAAAAAGAAAAGAAAGAAAGTCTCATCACTTATCATACTTAATAAAAATCAGTCTTTAAGAAAATATTATGACATCATAGTAATTTTACAATAAGAACCTTTGAATATTTCAGTAGCTTACCTTGACACGTATGACAGCAATCTTTAGGTTTTTGGTACTGGAACGGTTATCTTTTATCGAGTTGTATATTAACTCAGCAATATAAAATATGTGCTGCATCTTAAGTTTTGCTAATATCAAAATCAGAACATTCCTTTGTCAATGTAAAGAGAGCTTAAAGTATTTTTCAGTCGTCAGGTCTGCATGTGGTGCTGGAAAACCCTAGCCTCTCCTGTTCATGTCCAACGTCCGGCCACCAGCAGAACAGTGGTATTTGGCAGGTGTCAGGAGTGACGGGAGGAAAACAACTTGATAAGGTTTGATGTTATTTCTGCTATTTCCAAAACGTCACAGTACTGTTACCGAAGGACGATATCGCTGACGTAAATAAAATTAATTACATTAGTTTTTTAAGTTGTTATAGTTTCAATTTCTAAATTAGGACCTAAAATAAATGTAAGTAGATTCGATTTGAACTTTGTAGTAATAGATCTTTGGCATAACAAAAAAATGTTTTATTCACCTGTGTGAGTTTTGATTTCCGTGGGAGTGTAACTTTTACATATTTACAACAGATAGTTATGGTTAAATTTTAGGAGCGTAATGTACAGTAGCGAATAAATGGTATTAGCTTCTAATAAATTTGACTCCTATTATTTTATGTTTTTAATTTTATTTTGCCACAGCTTTTTTTTTGTGTTTTCGTTTATTTTTGAATAACATATCAATTTTAATGCAACATCATGGTTTTTTTTATAGATACTTCCAGAGAAAGTGTCTAATAAATATATAATCTTGGTTTAATTCATGTCAGTGCGGTCTAATGCGAAATCTTTATCAGTCAATTTTCAACTTTACGTTTCAGCACACAAATATTCTATTAAAAACCAAGAATTCTCCAATAATTTTTGACGCCTTACTTTAATTACTGGATCTACTATAAGTATGACCCAAAAGGATTTCATTTTTTTTGAACACACTGTACATTTGTTGTTAACAAAAGTACTGTTGTTATTTCTAGGGACTTCCCCTTCAAACTAAGGTGTTCCTTAGACGGGGAATCCCGTTCTCGAATATGACGTACCTGCATGGCTGAATTACGAAATATGGTGCAATTGTAATAATGGATTGAATGGATGTGTGTGTGGAAAAAATGTTAAGATGATGCTTAAAAGATAAATAAAATTCAATTAAGTCACAATCGGATCTCATCTCACAATTTATCCTGCTAATAATGTAGTAGAAGTCGAAATAAATATATTCTATAACTACTGTTTGATTGTAGGAATTTGGGTGTACACTATTGGGTTCTTTGCCAAAGAGCCACCGTGATCGCCTTACGAAAGAACTACATGATATAATCAGATGTATCAAACAACACAACGAATCAGATGTTGATACACCCAAAGATGCGCTTGCTAATAAGTCTGCCAGCATGATCGAGTTGAAAACGCCAGACAAAATGTGAGTATTTGTTTTGTTCTCTACTTTTTATCAGAAGGTCAGATAAAAGTACAGTTTTCGTTTGAATTAAATTAATTGACTTCTACCATATTCTCACAACGCCATCTAGTCCCAAACTAAGCACAGCTTGTACTATGGGTGCTGGACAACTGATATACAAAAAGTATATATGTTTATACTTTTTTGTAAATACATATCTACATATTTTACATAGAAACACCCAGATAAAATCAAACATATTATGTTCATGCTCATAAATGTTTGACTTGACCGGGAATCGAACCGCGACCTCTAGCATAGCAGTCCGTTATACAAAGCACTGCGCCATCGGGCCGTAATGTATTTTTTTATTATATTTTAAGTAATACAGCAAAATCAATCAATTTTAAGCTGTGTTAGTGTTGTGCTTTTTCTTGCAGTACGACCAATATAAAAGCTGAAACACCTACACGATACCGGTCTTTAGATACCCTCATCGCCCCAATCAAGAAGTCTGAACAACCATTCCCTACTCCTGGTATTTTACAACGAGCCAATCTGATCGATGCATCTGCCGACAATGGAACTGACAATAAGAAAGTGAGTTTCATTTGTTTTCAATTAGATAACGACTTTTAACTATTTTTTTTATTACTTAAACATAACAATATGAAGTTCTTGACTGAAAGCAATCAAATATTTTTTGAACGTTTCGAGTTAGTCATGCTTAACTCCCCTTTGCCCCTTGTTACCAAAGTTTAGCAAAACTCTTTACTTCGAATAATTAAATTAGCACTAGTCTAACATTTCGGGAATTTCCCTAATCTTCTTTTGGCTTCCTATCACAATAGGGTCGTCACATGATAAATGAATAAAGATTGAAGTCGTAATAACCATTCCAATTCACTCGTTGCACATATCTTCAATAATAGGCATAGATTTTTTATTATATGTTTTTTAGCAAATGATGTGTAGCAGACAAAGCACTTATACACTGTCATCAACGCCTGGCAGCGTAAGAAGACGTAACAAGACTTCAAGGTAATACTCTAATATATAGCTACTTATTTTCACTTCCAGTTGATGCCGTTGACTTAGTCATCTCTTCAATCACAGGATGGACATGGGTACCAGTATGTCTATCCTGACCCCAAGTAAGCAATAGGAAGAGAACAATACCATAATAGCTGTGTACTATCCATTATGTTATATACCTACTTATATAGCCCCGAAACAAAGTGTATGACTACGGGACAATGGCTAATGGCTAAAACGTCTGGAACAGAATCAGATGATAGAGGCCAATGATGTATCCTATTGTATTTTTATATACAATTATAGTTTTATTATTATTTCCTTACAGTCCCATAAAAAGTTCTTCTCAAAGGTTTATACTGGACAGTCTTATCGCTGCTGAAAAAGTAGCAGAGGATCTCCATTCTAAGCTCACATTAATTATTAGGGAAATCATGGAGGAGGACAATCACAATTCGTCTATTTCATCATTAGCTCTCGACGTTTCTAAGATTTCTGTGCTTAAGGTATGTGTACAATGTGTCTATATCTATAGTAGATTTTGGATAACATTTACCTTATGATGTTACCTAGGGACAGAAAGTCCAACTAATTCAACTGTCCAAACAATTCTCGACGCCTCTGTTAGAGAATATGTAGCATTTAAATAATGTATGTAATATCGATTGTTATAAAAGGATGTAGTTAATTTTAGTAGTTTTTAGATTTATTAACCGACAAATAGTAAATGAAGTTTTAAAAAAAAATAGTGTACTTAGTCTAGTGTAGGTATTTGCAAATTTCTAAGCGACACAGGTATCTACTATGATATCTTATGTGAATTACTAGAATTTTTCATCAGAGCTCGAGTCACGGCTCCAATTCCACAAGAAATTCATGGTGGGTATGCATTCCAGCAGAGCTGGCTTGGGAAATGCTAGAAGGCAGACTGACATAACAAAATCTACCACAAGATGAAAACGAGACCTACAAGGTGCACGCAATGAACCTAGAAATGCAAAATGAATGGTTAATAATTCTAGGAGAATTTAGTATCCCTTCAGCTTTGAAATGGCGCACTCTTTTATACGATTGGTCACCTGTCATATTAAAATTTTACCTCAACGTCTTTCAATTAACTCTCCCCGATCAAACCAATCTGGTAAGATGCTACAGAAAGGCTTGTAAGGTGTGCAGTGCGGAAATAGGTACAGCCAGGCACTTACTAACAGGTTGTAAGGCGCTATTAGACTTTTGTCATTATTCACAACGCCATGGTAAGGTATTACAAATCCGACGCGAACAAAAAAGACTTAACAAAAGCCGTACTCCTTAATAAAAACGGCCAGTGACTGGACATTATTAGTGTACACGTATAAAAATCATTACAGAATACCGGAGGATATCTGTGCCTCGTCGTCCAGACCAGACATATTTCTTTATACAATGCCGAACTCACGGTGCCGTGGGAAACGAGCATCCCTTAAGACCACGCTTTAAAAATAATTGTATGCCGTGGAAGTGGGTGCGAGGGGTATACCAGCTAAATCCTACTATAACCAGCTTAAAGCCCTTGGATTCCCAAGAGCTTCAGTAAGGTCTTTTTTAGAACGAATATCCAAAGCGGCATTGATAGGCTCATATCAAATATGGTTAGGTAGAGGGGGTAAGATCCATCACACGATGTTGGGCACCATCCATCACACTATGGACCCGGCACCCGTATGGTGAATCCATGAAACACTAAGAAATAGGTCTTTTTTTGTGGCTTTAATCTACTCTTATAAGTGTGTATGCAAAACTTACGGTATAATTCTTTTTTTTATACTTTCAGGTTGTAGAACCTATAAAATCACAATTCGCGTCGAGTCCCAATCTATCGGCCATTGGACATGTTAAAGAAGACTTGGTAAAAAGTTCTCTTAAACGGTTTGAAAGTGCTTCGACGTCGAATCTCGCGCCTTGTAAGTCCTCAACAAAGGAAAGCAGCATCTCAAAACTACGTCGTATGTCACCTAATTTCTTCAAAAGCAAGGAGACGTCGGGTGTTAAAACTGAAAAAGGGAAGTCTCAAGATACCAGAAGTAAATTCCAGAGTATGTTTGATTTGTTTGTTATTAATAATTTACGTGTTAGGGTTCGTTGATTTCGTGCACGTCGTCATCGCGGCGGTAAGACCCATTATGGAGGATTGACTCGAGAGGCATCACGGGACCCTCTCATACCGACTGACGCAGGTGATCACTTGGAAAGGATGTTTCTGGGATTACCTGTGTCTGATCCGCAAGGAGCCAACGCATGAGTGCCACCGCTGCGATGGTCGGACCGTGGACACGGCGCTCAACACGCTGGCAGAATGCCCGGCGTGGGTGGAGCAGAGACGAGACCTCGTGGCGGCCATCGGAGTGGGAGTTCTCTCGCTCGATAACCTGATTGCGGCTATCGTGCGGAGCGAGAGAGCGTGGAACTCTGCCGTCTCCTTCTTCGAGCAAGTTATGCTTGCGAAGGAGATGGCACAGCGGGACCGGGAGAGGTTTAGAACTCTCCCGGCCCGCCAGACTCGGGAACGGGCTAGGTACCGCAGACGACTCAGGCGCCGGAGGTCGCAGAACGACCTCCGTCCTCCACAAGCGCCTGGGGGTGACAGGTGAGACCATCTGTCATTTTAGTAGAACCAGGCTGGGGTGGCGGCGAGCGCGTTGCGTAGCGCGCGCGCCCTTCCGGGAGCACAGAGGCAACATGGCGGGTCCCCAAAAAGGGGGGGGTCGCCTACCCGCTGTAGATGGCCCGAGGTACGTCGGGGCACCAGGGATTTACTTTCTAGGGTACACCTGGTTCCCTGGCTATTAGTACCCGAGACGGCGTGCGGTTTTAGTCGGTTCGAGTCCGACATGCCACCGAGAGGTGGTATCTGAGGGGATTTCCGCACGGAAAAAAAAACGAGTCTCACGACATCTTACTTGGCGTCGATGTCATGTCATGTCATCATCATTTTCATTGAAAAAGACTTCTCCCGCACTATGACTATATCCTGTCACGGGGGACATTACAAACATACATGAAACGGACAAAAACACCCAGACTCAGAACATCACACGTGTGGATCGCACAGAGTTGTCCTATGATGGGATCGAACCCACAAAACAGCGCAGTAGGAAGCGGCGAGGAGACCCTTAAATCACAACGTCGTTGGTGCAGTCAAATATATTTAGTTTTTGTTATAAGCAATAAGTAGAAATTAATGCACAATACTATTGTTTCCAGGTCTGTTAAAACCAAAAATAGTAACCCCAGTACGCACTGCAAGGATGACTGCAGAATCAAGCCCGAACCTAAGCTCATCATCTAAGAAGAAATTTAGCCATGTAAAATCAACTATACCAAGACCTATGAAGAAAGAATAATAAAAATAATAAAAAAGAAAATAGACTTTAATGTGAACAAGAACTAGAATACGCGGCACTAAATAAGGCACTACGGCGTGGCGCTAGTTTATCCCTGATTTGATTAAAGTATTCTTGTGGTGGTTATTGATACAATGAACTAATATATATTTAAATAAAAATTGTTTTCCTTCCTTTATCTTCCTATATAATAGTTTGTATAACAGTCCTGTTTCTTAACTGTCAGATATATCTGAATTAGTGTAAGTCGTTATTAATTTTTCAATTTCCTTCTCCAAATTTTCATTTTTGCTTTCAGATTTTTTCTTTGTTTTTGATCTAGAACATTTGCTAATTTCCTTGTCTTTTTTATCGCCAAATTTATTTTTTTCTTGAACCATACTAGGGTATACAATACTTTGAATTAGTTCTTCTTTTGCACTGTTTTTACAGTAATCACCCTTATTCGTTACAAACTCATGACTTTTTCTTTTAGACTTTCTATTTTTCGTAATGCAACAATCTTGTAAACTTTCATCGTCACTATAAGATTTACTATCAGATGGAAATTCTTGTTTAAACCGGTTGTTAATTTCTTTCTCTTGGCTCTTTGTGGTCAATTCTTTTAAACTACTCTTTTCTTGCTTCAATGTCTTTCTTCTATCTTTTTTAGCTAATTTAAGACATATTGTTGCCTTAGGGTAACCTGTAAACTGCTGGTAACATTCTCCCTTTTCTAAAGAGACGAAACCATTAAAAAATCTTCTTGGATGTATATCTTCAGGTGTCTCATTTAGTAAGGAATAAGCTTTCTTTAAAAAAGTTTTCTTGTCAACTGGGTTCTGCATATGAAAAAAGTTTCCAATTTGTTCATGAGATTTTAGTCGCCTTAATGCATTTCTTTGCACAATATTATATGACACCACAGCCATGATCATAAATGAAGGTTCATTACTAAGTACATGATCCCACAAGATCAACCATTCAGAGCAAGTCAACACTTCACTGAAGGCAGTCTCAAGTATTTTTAGAGCATATGTTTGACTGGTGATGCCAACATCACAAAAATGTTTCAAAAGTTGCTGATCATGTTCAGCTAGAATATTTTCAATTATTGCTAATACACTAATGGGCGGGAATGGGGCATACTCAAACCACAACTGACAATAATTACACAAAATTGTGGCAACAGATTCAAATAATAATAATGGATCCTTCTGTAATACTTTCACAAATGGAAACACAAAACTTGGTAAAAATTTCATTACCCCAAATAAGGGACACCAATGAGCAAGACAAGACAGCAAGCGTTTTAAGTTTTTGAGCGTTATAGAGCTGTGAATTGTAAATTGTTTTTCAATATCTCTATAAGCTGCATGGATACCTTTATCTATAAGTGCGGCATATGCAATTTTATTACGTGGGGTATCCAGAAGCGATCTCCATATAATCGACCGAAACTTGTCAGGATATTCACCATATTGCATTAATATTCTCCTTAATCTAGCACTATCCATACAAATCCGCATCTTCTGTTCCACTGCAGCCTGCACTTTAGAGCGTTCCTGCGAGGTATTTTTGTAAGATGTACATGGCAGATCTTTCTTTATATCAACATTCTCAACTATTGTTTTAGGAACCGATTTTATTGATTCCATTACAAATGCAGAATTGTAAATATTCACTTCACCTAATTGTAGGATGCATAGGAAGTACTTTCCCGTAGGGCTGACTGTAAAACTACGAATTCCTGAGGATTCAAACTGAATAGTGTGAATGATTGTTAGTGCTTCCAGGTCTAGTAAGCTAAATGTACAGTCACTGCTCAATATAGCTAGAATTTTATTTGATCCCCCATCAAACAATTGAGGAATAAATGCTATTTGGTTAACACCTGAAATATTATATTTTGACAAGTCTATAGATTTCAGTGCTTTCCAAGTATCCATACTGAATAGAATTAACATAGGTGTGAGCCCAGCCATTGCCATTGCCCGACCATTCATTGTGAAAGCAATATTTTTCATATGCTTCAATTCACTTGGTATGATTTGTTTGACTGATTTCATCGTCTCATGTTTCCAAATTTGAACAGTATCATTCTGAAAGCATGCAACAAGAAAGTCTCCGGCTGGAGTAAATAAGATTTGCTGGATTCGCGCATCAAGATAAGTATTTAGTGTAAAATATTTGGTATAATTACGAAGCTCCCATAAAATAGCTTCAACATTACTGGCCGTTAAGAGATTGCTTACTTTGACATTGTTTGAAAAGTAAATGTGTCTTACAGGTGCTGAATGCCCTGAGAGTGTTAAAGAGGTTTGTCCTGTTTCTATGTCGATAAAGTTCATGTCATACTTTTTATTCGTAGCGACAACCAGTGTGTCTGGCTTGTTAGGCACGAACTGTAGTGCGGTACTCGGCCCGATACCGGTCAATTTCCAAAACTTTAAGTCGGTAAAATCCAATATAAAGATGTTTCCAGCATTGTCTGCACATGCAAGTTTTTCTTGGTTGTCATCAAATGTGGCCGTTGAAAACCGTATTCTTCGACATTCTCCATTTGGACCTTTTATCGTGTGATGTAGTTGTAATATCACACCATCCTTCGGTTTTGATTTTAACTTAATATCAAATTTTTCTACAACTCCTTGCTCAGCTCGTTGCAGATGTTCCATTTATGAATTCTATAATAGCTTTAGAACAATTGAAAAACATGATATTATTATCATTATAATGATATTATTATTAGAGATACCAGATAAATTATTTTAAATTTGGCGGAATCAAGCAATCTAAATAAAAACAGTTTGTCATAGACTTACGACGTTTTTGACGTAATCAATATTATGCCTAAGTTTAGAGGTGCCCGGTTTAGTATTTTAACAGATAATGCACTAAGCACGATTTAGTCTATTATATGAAATAACCACTACGACGATGAGTATAGTAGGCTAAATGCATAGCTTAACTTAATATGTTCCGCACATTACTAGTATTTTTAATAAGCTTTTAGTAACATACATCTTTAAACCATAGAGTTAAATGGTTGTGTTAATTTCGATGGAAAAAAAAAACTTTTAAATTCCTGAACATTTTACAATCAAAATCATTTAATATAGTAAGGTAGTAGTGTTAGAAGAGAATTTTAAAATTAAATGTGTTCGGGGCTCTTGGGAATTTTAAGTTACATAGTCCTTGCTTTTATCTACAAATTGACAAATTTGCTTTTGCTTTTAAATTACGGATATGTTATAGTCAATTTGTTTTATTAGAATCTGCTTCTGATTTTTGAAATTTAATTTGCTGATTGAAAAGAGAGATTAATAAGAATAATAACTCTTTTTCTGTAAGAAATAGATTTAAAAAAAAAAACCTGTCTGTAAAATATCATTGTGGTTAAATATTTGTTGTTACTCTATACTGCAATATCTAATATTAAAAAAAGATTTTATTTACGTGTTAACCACAGCGGTTATCGTAAACAAAATATGTTTTTTTCCGTCTTAAGTACAAAAAATTGCTCACTCAGACAAAATTTTTAAAACTGGCAGCACTGTTTTAAAAACCTAATCTTTTTATACATTGTCTGTAGCTGGGAATTTCTCATATATGTAATGAGTTCCATACTGCATTCTGCACACCATTGGTTGGTGATATATAAAACTATAGATAAATATGTATGTATTGCGATATAAAACGGAACAGATTGCATCAGCCGAGCGTCAGTCTATTGGTGATGTATTAAGAAGTGTTTCGTGCCACTTATTACGGATATCCCTGTTGTACAAGTAAAGTGTAAACAGACATTTAGTTGTTTGGAATTTCACGAATTGTTTGAAATAAGGTGGGTACCTATATCATTAAATTATACTATATTTAACAGTATTTTTAATCAGGACAAAGGATATGATATATCACACCACATTAATTTATAAAAAGTAATATATTTGTAATTTACATACATATAATAGCATTGTTTACTAACGATACTTAAGATATAACTCCAGAATTTATATTAATTTTTAAACCAAAACTTCTTTAGGCGCGTTGGGCATTTTTGAATAACAAACAAAATAATGTATTTTATGGTTTAAAAAAAAACTTTTTTTTGGAGGTGGAAAAAAACCCATTGAACTCGCGATACTGTTACTGTTACCGACACCTCGGGTGTATATGTATATAAGTTTTCACTTCTGTCGGCAACTTTTTTTTATATTGATTGTGTAAATGTAAGAAGTAAGGCACAGCAGATTTCAGCTCTAATTAGTGCCGCCTACTTTTTTCACGACTCTTAACCCTTAGAAACCATAGAAATAAGACACTGACATGTTGATTTTTTATGATGGTGAGATTAGTGTAGTGATGTGAGGGTGAAGGGGCTGTAAGTTGTTTGTTTGTTTCAGAAAATATACATATTTGCACTAAACAAACTAGGTATGGTTTTTTAGTACCAGATATGAAAATATATATGATTTTATGATAAATTCAGGAGGAAGAAACAGTCAAGAAAATTTAACCCTCCTTTTGAAGTTGTTTTATAAATACACATCTTGCTCTTGACTCTAGCTGTTATAGGTCATCATCATCATCAACAGCCTTTAACTGTCCATTGCTGGACATAGGTCTCTCCTTAGAAAGAAGGGTTTGGCCTACTTTATCACGCTGGCCAGACGGGTTGGTATAGGGTTTCTTTCAAGTTTTACTTCTCTTTGCAATGCTGTTGTCCTGCAGAGTTTACTCCCTTCGTCGCCTCTTACGACACCCACGGGATGAATAGGGATGGCGGCACTCCGTATTCTTAATCCGTCAAAACACTGACAATCTTATAGTTAACATACTTTTTTTTTGGTTATTTCAGATGGCTTCTAAAAAGGCTTTGAGACGTTACATACAAAAGAGGAATCTCCACAAATCTTATATGTTACAAGATTGCTCTCTAGTTATCGACGGGAACAGTTTCTTTAAGGAGTCATACAAAAATAGTGGCTGCCAGTTCTTATTGGGGCCTGATTGTAACAAATATATCATTTACTTAAATGAACAATTAAAATGTTTCTCTGCATGTAACATAACATGTTACGTAATCTTTAAAGGGACTACAAGAGATGAATTAGAAAAAATACAAAATATACATCAACAAATGCTCAACGATCGAATTCATACTGAAAATTCTCTAAACAGACCCTCATTTTTTGAGCCACTTCTCGTTGAAGACATGCAGAAACAACTATTGAAATTGAGTGGGATAAAATATTTTTGTTGTGAATATGAAGCGATTGAAGCCATTATAGGCGTCGCGAGATCTTTCAAGTGTCCAGTGTTAACAGATAACATCGAATATTGCCTTTATGGAGTATCCTGTATTCCGCCAAATTCTATCACATGGGAGAAGAACTCCACAGCAGTACAATGTACTATATACGATCATGACAAATGCAAATATTCTATAGGCGTTCATCATAAAATGCCACTACTGTTGACAGTGTTGTCTATGATCTCAGAGTTGCCAGAATGTGGAAATATAGATGATATATCCTCAGTAATTCGTTGGGTGAAACAGCAACAAAAAGATGTAATTAACGAAATTACAAACAACATTAGTGACTTAAACAAGAGGAAAATATTTATAGATTTGTTTTACAGAAACATCATATTATATTCGTATCCTTCATGTAATTTGGCGGTAAAATATTGCAAAAGGGATAAGTTTTATGGACTATTTAAAGATGATAAAAAATGGTTTTCTAAAGGTGTATCCAATGGAAGAATAGCGCTTCCTTATATTGTCATGAAACGAAAAGGTCTTGTGATTGGCTCCACGGTTGTAAACGACATTCGCGAACATGATGCTATTGAAGCTGCCGCTCCAGTCATTTCATACGCCCACTGTCTTTTAACGAACTCTCAAAAGTCAACGTTAAAATATGTCGGGAGAAAGAATACTATATGCACCACGTGGGATTACGAATATTATTGGAAAGGACAAATACATAACAGAGACATATTCAATAAATATGGAAAAATGAAGAAAAAATCATCTCTTGGCAATCCTTTCTATTTATTTATAAAGGAAATAATATCTGTGAATGTGGCAGAAGATATTAGGATGGTTACAAATGCTCTATTTTCAACTGAACTTAAAAACTGTATAATTCTTGTTGTAACTCTCGTTTACTACGTTCAGAAGGTAAACAAAAAATTTATCGATTTTGCATACTATATTCTTCTATGCTATTTAATTTTAGGCCCTGTCGTCGAGAGAATATGTAAACGGGAATTAAATAAAGATATTTATGAAGACTGTCGTGATATGTACAATAAATTAAAGTTTTTATTTCAATGTGATAGTTTAAACCAAAACTATGACACTAGTATTGTACATAGTTTAACTGAGTTCTTACATTGCTTACAACACATGAATTATTTGAACAATTTATGTGGACAAAATGTCGATCATATTCCTGAAACTATCTTTTTTAGAACTTATAACGCCACATTTGTATACAATACGTGTATGTTTGTGAAGAATAAAGATGAATTGATGTCATATTTGAATAGTAATTTCAAGGGTTCTTGGGGTTTAAAAACATATAAAAGCATTATTTCTAAATTTAATAAATATCTTCTTGATACTCATGTATAGAAACAACTCTATTCTTTTTTCTTATCTATTTTTTTATAACGTGTATGATGAATGAATGTTAATAACATATTTAATAAATTATATTATTTATAAATAATATTTAGTATTTATTTTTAAAATTACTTTTTATTTAAGTTAACCCAATTTGGTGGACTTTGGCCTCTTAAACAATTCGGTCTAACCATTTGGTTCAATAAATGACTGGACCTCCTGCTCAGGGACAGTCCGTTACTTTTGCCTGCGTGCTTTGGCCTTACACTACATGGGCCCCTAACTACGCAGGTCACGTACTTAAAAGAACAACTTAAAGTTTTGTTAAAAAAGTGTTTCCCATAATTAATAATGTAATGTAATGTAAACCATACATAATAAGGTAAACCAATGAGAAATATGATAATAAAACACTTATTTTTAGTTATTAAAATATTTAAAAATATATTGTGATATTTTTAAAAAATAACTTACAATTTTTATCTATAGTTATGTTATATAAATATCAAAAACAATCTTCAGTTTTGCTCGTCATTTTTTTTCTCGCATCACATTGTACATTTTTTGGTTAAATCATTATAAGTTTCTTTTCATAAATTTGCATAAACATTACGCTGCAAGAGGTGCAAGACTATATATATAATTAAAATTCAAACGAAACGTATTCATTCACTGACTATTCGCCTACGTAATCTGTAAATATAGCGTACATTTTCCAGGTCTTCATTACAATTGGTCCAAATTCTACCCAAATAATAGAATCCCTAAAATGGATTGCATAAAATTCGACTCGTAGCTTTATTAAAAGTTGATATTGAAATAAGTCAACTTTTAAAAGAGACTACACGTCGTTAAAAAGACATATCCTGCGGGCCTGGTCTGCGTGTTTAACTTTTTTTTTCATTGCTTTAAATACAATTTTTATTTTCTATGCACAATTGCTGCAACAAACACAAAATATTTTGTAGCTGTAGTTGTAAATAGAAAAAATATCCGTGTTTTATTAGCACTTTGTAAAGTTTGAACACAAAGCACGTATACCACATTATTGCTGCAGGGAAGATGTAAGTTAACAAAACCTTTATCAGGAATTTATCTGAAACTTTTAAAATTATACGTCTCTTGCTTATGTCATTGCATTTTTTTAGCTTTCTCTCCGTATTCCTTCTGTGATTTTTCTTTTGGGAATTAAAATTATTCTATTTAAATTTTTTGTCAAAAAATAGGAAAAAACATTCTTAATAGAAAAATATTATATTCATAGTTATATTCGGAAACTTACTAAACCTTATCTCACTTTCAGTGTTAGTAAATCTAAATGTACTGATCTTAAAATCTACAAGAAATAAAAATACGCGTATTTTTTTTAATAAGTAGTACGATACACCGCGGAGAGCTATGCTTCAGTACAAACGGGCGGGCTCGACCGGAGTGATACTAACACCGTTTTTCTTTCTTTCGTTGCTTTTCGCCGAATGAGTGCGGTTCCGGAGCACAAACGGAACGGGCGGCACTCGGATTTGGAGTTGCACTTGCAAGTGTCTATGGGTCGATAGTAACTTACTATCAGGGGACCTGTCTGCTCGATTGCCATCTATAAACAAAAAAAAAACACGCGAACTCTTAATGCAACTCGCTTTGGTTCTTTTAGCAATTTAAAAAAATTATGACAGTCCACATTAGTAACATTTGAATTATATTTTGTATATAATTTAAATGCTAAATAATGATAATGTAGACAAAATAATATAACGCCGAAATCACCAGCCATACCTAAAACGATTATATGTACGATTGTTTATGTAACCTTATTATTAAATACATATTATGTAAAATTATACTTCAGTTATGTAAGAATAATGGATGTTCCTATTTATGTTTGGCTTTAATTTTTATCTATTTTATGTTTTGTCTTTAATTATTTGTACGAGAAATCTGTGCCTTTCTATTTTGACATACTTTATTTTTAACTACACGTCTAAAAATCTTGGAAGTCTGCTATAACCTTCCGGATGGCTTACAACTTTCTGGTTCTATAATTGTATAGGTATTACCGCGTTTACTAAGCCGGTGGCCTGAGTTACTTGGTCGAAACGTCAGTAGAGCTGCAGCCTTGTGGTTAAGTTCCGAGTGAGTCGTTTGCTGCGTAGTGATAACCTCCTGCGTAGACGAGAGAGAGATACTCTTTTTACGTGAGCCGTAGGTGTGTGAGGGTCTCTTACCCCATATTGTAGGAGGGACGCAAAACCAGTTCCGTTAATCAATCTGTCACTTTATTTATTGTTGTATACCTAATGTTATTGTAGTTACACAGTAGTTAGTGTTGTATGTCTAATACTTTAGTACGAAAATACCTTTTATGACAGTTGTGAGATCGAGAGTTGATCGGATTTCGGGTTGTAACCGAAATTTTATTACCAGAATTGGCTTTCAGGTTAAAAGATTTTCTTATGAGCAATAATTTCTTCTGTGTTTGCGTGTAATTAATCATGTGTTATGAAGAAATATGCATTCAGTACTATACGAATATAAACATGCTGTTGTTATCGCATTTGGGGAACCAGTTATGATAGTTTTGAGTTTGGAGAATATACAAATAAAAATACAATGTTTATCAGCAGTCTGGTTACTAGGTTCTGCTTAGTTTGGAATTAGTCGGCAGTGTTTGATTCGTCTTTCAAAAACAAAACAAATGAACTATTTTTAACTAACTTCAAAAAAGAGGTTATCCATTCGGATGTTTATATAATTTTGTTTTATGTATGTTCGGGCATAACTCCGTTATATATAGACGGATACCTATGTAAAATTCTCGGGGTTTATCCCGAAATGGTCCCATTTAAATTTCATATAGTTCTGATGACGAGTTTCGGAGACAGACAACGTAACTCTTAAAAAAATGACACCAAATGAACCGCGATTGCTGCTAGGTTTTTAGTGCTCTTTGTTAGTATTGTTTGAAGGCGGTTCAACCTTTTTTTTTGTAAAGGATTTACGCGTATTTTATAAAAGATCGTTTAATTTTTTTGCACTTAATTATTTTTTTTATTCTGCTGTATATTTTTAACTATTACTTCCTTCACGGGAAGATGAATAGATAACTATTATTATATCATTTATAAAGCAGAAAAATTAAAATATTTATCACAACGACTACTTAAAATACTATAATGTCCAGTGGACGCATGATTGGTAGCAGATTGTCGTCCGTTACGGCTTATTACCCCAATTATTTTCAGTTTTGCTATATTTTCTCCGTTCCGTTTTTTCACCTCTCGGGGAAATGCAAGCTAATTTGACGTAAAACGATTATGGCGCTTGCGCAGTCGTCGTTCGCCAGTACGCTATCAGCCACCAACCGTGTTCCCGCGCATTCATAATTCAAACGTGACCGTTACTTTTAGCGCGAAATTGAAAAATGTAACGAAATGTTCAGACACCGATAATAGTAATTTCATTGTTAACTTTTAAAATAAAAGTTTAGCTAATGACGAGTAATGAACAAAACAAACATTAACAAGCCGTTGTTCATTTACAAAACGAACAGAAAATTTAAAAATCACGCTTAAATTCTTTTAAAACGACGTGTTCACAATGCGGCCTATTAGACATTAAAATCGGTTTTCTCTAAGATTCCGCTGGCGGTTCGTCCGTGCGTTTCTGCCAGTCGAGTACATGCCGACGTACCGCTTGGTGGAAAGCACCGGTGTGCTCAGCCGGGTCTTTCGGAGTATTAAGATGTGTTTTCTTAACGTACTGCGTCTCCACGTATCGCAGAGTCAAAGGCAAAAGGAATTATACAAACAATATATGGAGCAACTAACAGGGGCGTACTTGGAGAGGTGTGCGGATTTGGATGATATACACTGGGACCGGAGGTATAACAACAAAGCCCCATCTCAAGATTCGCTATACCCATTTTCCTGTGAAGATTGTTGGTGTTATACAGACGGGTCGGGATCCTGCTGTGGTTCCGAATGTTCTGAATGTCCTGATAGTGGCAGGTGTTCGTCTCCGTGTTGTTCCGAAGTGATATTCAATGGTGGATATCATTTTGGAGACAAGAGACCACCGCACTTGCATGCCTGTCATCGTTATCCTATTTGCTGTCCTGGAAACTTTAGGTAAGTTTATTGATTAAATCAGTCTTTCAAATATATTGAGTATGTTATCATTTGTACCAAAAGTTTCAGACGATAAATTAGTTAAAAGTAAACTAAATTGTTTGAAGCACATACATAGCTATAAAAAATGAGTCACCTTCTTGATTATGGTGTAAGTAAAGGTAGGTATATCAGGAGTTTCCACAGGGGTGTTCTGCACCAGTAAGTCCTGCTTGTGCAAAAACACACCCATATCGTACAAAGTGTCTACTTGGTAACAATGTAAAGGTGTATAGAGATTTTTTTTCATCATTATGTTTTAAGATATCGCAAATAAGATCGCAAGTTGCCAAAATCTATGGCTTGGCAACTTAAGTTTCGTTTTTATAGTTGTACATATAACATGTTCAATTGTGAATATTCAATTGTGTGATGCTTACAAGTTAAGATACTTTTAACCTTTAAAAACATATAATTAGGTATTGTTAATTTATATACAAACAATGCTTTTATATTCAACACTGTGGGATATTACAAGATGCGTTATTGTACTAATGTACTTTATAAAAACCGATAGTACGGTGTTATTCACATTCAGTTCACCGTACGAGAACAAAGAGCAGATGTAATTATTGTCAATTTTTTACTTGACATTGTGTATGTGTGTTACTTTGTACCAGAAAATAATATCTGGATTGTAACACAGCTGACACTGTGTAATATAATATGTTAAATTAACTAGTTTTTACAAATTTAATCTACATTCAATTGTTCTATCTATGTAAATAGTTTGTTTAAAATATGCAGGGTTACTGGTTAAGTCGACCTCAGTAGATACTTTAGGGGGTCGTAGTGGTCATTATTACTGATAGATTTCACTATGAAATACCATATCTCAGACATTTTAAAGATTTTGGACTTTAATGTTTTTTTTTATAAAAATTACAACTTCATTAAAAGTAATGTACAAAGGGCGGCCTGATCGCTTACAGAAATGTGTTCTAGGCAATCCTTACATGGCCTGTATTAATTTTACAGTGGTGGTAGGTATTTACAAGTTCGAAGAATATATAAGGTCTTAACCTATGAAATATATCTATTTATCATACATAAATCTTACTTTATTAGTGCTGTGGTCCTGCGTAGTTTGCGTCCTTAGTCGGCTTATGACACCCATGTGATGAATAGGGGTGGTGACATTCCGTATTTTTAATCCGTCACTACACAGACGTATTCATAGTATTCAACACCCTTAATTACTGATCTTTAAACTTTTTCTCTACGATAAAGGGGCCAAACAAGCAGACGGGTCACCTGATGGTAAGTAACTACCGTCACCCATAGATAACTGCAACTCAAGTGCCACCCTTTGAGTCCACCCCCTAAATAATCAGGAGGGTTTCAACGCCAGTACCTTACTTATTCGATGAAAAGCAACCTGGTTTTCAATAAACTTTTGGTTAGTACATCATCATCACATCAACAGCCTTTAATAGTCCACTGCTGAACATAAGCCTCTCCTTAGAAAGGCGGTTTTGGCCTACTACATCACGCTGGCCAGATGGGTTGGTATAGGGTTCGTATCAAGTTTTTCTTCTTTTTGCAGTGCTGGTGTCCTGCGTTGTTTTGCACCCTTAGTAGGCTCTTACGACACCCACGGGATGAATTGGGGTAGTGACATTCTGTATTCTTAATCCGTCACTACACGTCACTACACGCCTACACTGGTGGGTAGTACGGTTACTTATAAATGAAATGTAATTTGATCATTCGTATTTTTATTAAATAAAAAGCATTTATCATCCACGAAATTAAAGACTTCATGAAGTCCAAATACGGAAGAAAAATGAAGGCCCCATTACATAGGGCTGCAAAGTTTTATCTTCTATCTACACTTTTATTCACAAACAATTATATTTATGTCCAAGGTATAATTTAAAAGTAATTTAAAACTACCTTAGAAAGTTTAAGTATTATTTAGGGAAACGAAAATAACCTACAACGATTACATAACCATTATTATAGAAAGTATGATTGTTTTAAAGAGCGGTGTTGCCATTTAAATTATAGATTATTGTTTATTATCTGTGCGTGCGTAGGTAAACACTGGTAAAGATGTGGTTTAACTGAAGCGGAACGAAGCGGAGAATAACTACGTATGCAAATGGATATCTTTAATTACTAAGCGTTCAATGACGCGTACTGTTGAAGTGGGCCAACTTAGCTCACAGCTGTTTTTAACCGACTTAACAAAAACAGAAGGCTCTCAATCCGATCCAATCAATTATTTAAGTCAGTTATGAACGAATTTGGAAAATTCTTTCTCATTTGGAAGAAAAAATTACCACCTCTGAGGATGGAAAATTAAGGAATGATGAATACAGTTTATAATTTATTATAATACTTTTCATCATAGTAAGAATAATGCCGACTCAGAACTACGTAACACTTCGCCTCAACTACGACTCGTATTAATATTTTTTATTTATTTTGTACATTTAATTTGTCTATGGCCTGAAGGTGCGTGTGTGATTGAAGTGCGTTAACACGTAAGTATATCTTCGTGATGCTGACAATCTCGTTAAGAAAATATGTACCTACACACATAACATTATGTAGTGGAAGAACAGAGGATGGTTTAATGACATATTCGTATGTAACTCAACCGTAAGTGTATTTCTGTCTGTTCATAATGAAAAAAAAGTGGGAAAGAAGATATATCTAGAAATTTAGTTAGCATTGGTGACTTCTAAATTCATTCCATTCTCTATCATGTAGAGAATGGAATTGATAAGTATACTTGTTTATATCTGATTGATCAGATAGAGGTGTATCGCAGATCCAAGAAAACAAAAAAAATTTTTGAATACCGAATATCTAATTTCGTAACTTAAAATTAGTTGTTTTTTTTTCATTTTATTTCTTTTTTTAATTGAAATCATTGACGTAAAATAATATTAAGCAAGTGTCATTAAATAAGAAAAAGGACTAGAATTTCAGTAACTTAAGTCAGAAAAAACTATTAAAAAGCGTAGAAAAGGAATAAACGAACTTTTATGTATTATTTCGAGAAACGATTTAAAAAATTTGATTGTTGTAATGCGTATCCTACAGTAATAATCTGATTTTTTGATTTAGAAAGTAACACAATTCAAAAGTAATATAAATCAATTACTATACTTAGTTTTATATTTTTACGTGAGTTTAAACTTTTACAATATATGAGATAGAGTATTATCCACTTATCGGTAAAATACGGTCACATACATATTTCAATCGTGCAATTGACACACTGACTGTATTGAGTCGACTTCGACTGCTGAAAGTGGTTGAAAGTAATTTGACCGCCGAGCAATAGTGTTAATCCATTTTTTTTTAATCTGTGACGTTCTTGACGTGAACTATAAAGGTAAGCATCTATACCAAAAACCATTACTTTACAATAAATTTTTATACGCTTCTTAATCAAGATACTTATCAAATATAATATGAGTAGGTAAGTAAATGTTGGTGTGTAATTTTTATTTGTATTTTATTTGTGAATCAGGGTAAAACTATTTTGTCATTATATTACGCGCCAATATTTTAACAAGCCTTGCCATTTAAAGAAATATTACTAAATATTACTCATAAAACCCCCTAAAAAAAATTCATTTTGCATTATGAATGTTTTTCATAGGCATTTTCTCAGATTTGTCTTTTTATGATCTTATTAGTACCTATGTAGCTACTTCTAACGATTAGAAATATTATGTCGATGTGATGCTAGCAGCCATCATCTTCACATAATATAGTATTCACTTTCTTTTAAATATAAGTGCGCTAGCCTCGGCATGTTCAGCTGATTAAATCTCCTTCATGGTGTGCATGTGAAATTTTGTATTAAGTATATTTTACATAATAAGGTTATGTGTCATTTTTGTGTAACCATATTACGACGGAATGGCTAATGAATTTCTCTCGTGAAATTCACTTTTACTAAATGTACAACATGTAGGCACAGGTAACATAACATTATGGAACGGAAATTCGTGTAATTAAAAAGTTTTGCATAGTGTTACGATCTCTTTTCTAGGTAAATACCTGTAATTATTGTTTTATCAAGCAATGTATCGTCTTGTTGAGGAAGGTAGAGAAATTATTTTGTATTGAAAATTGAACTTACGTTGAACTCGTAAATTTTTACCACAAGGTAAAAGAGCTATTCTTATAAGTTTAAAAAAAGTTTCGTATGAAAATAGTCTAACATGAAACAGTTTTTATGACAGACAATCCAATAATTTTTTGGGCATTGACAGTTATTGTACTTATCCAATAGGTATCCCTCCGACACGCCCACCACTGTAACTCCTGTAAACCAGAATCAACAGAAATTGTACCTACAGTTTTACAAAATCATGCAATACTAAGGATAAACCAAAAAAGTATAAGAAGCATAGTGTAAAATGTGAAAACAAAACACTAGATTATCTATTTAGTTAAATTCTTGCAAAATGTACACTCATGACATGAACGAATAATTTTAACATTGTTTAAAATATCTAAGCTATAGATTAAATGACAAAAACATTTGTTTTAACAGTCAATTGGGCCGGTCGTAATCGTAAAAAACAAAAGTTGTCCGGCATTAGTGTTGAGATCGAATCGATTTTAGACGATTATACAATAATGGAGTAAACAGTGCCGATTGATTTGCGTCTCGTCGCGTTCTGGTGACCAGTTTTACGGTCTGTTTAAAAAAATAGAATGTTTTCAAATGCGGAAATTCTTTTTACTCTTACATTACGCACATCTATATTTTTGACCACAAGGTTTGTCTATGGGCACTGATTTAAAAGTATCAGTTACATTATTTTGTGAAGAAGTGGGTAAGTAACAAAATGCATACACAACATACTGGTGCCCTCAAAAGGATAAGCAGAGCCGTGTTAAACTGACTGTACTTATTAGGGTGCAAGCCTTTTGCCGTCATTCGGAATTAGGTTGAGTAAATTGGGAGTTCAACATGAAAGGTAGAGTTGAGTG